CTTCCAAAACGAAGGAAGGGAGGAAGGAAAATAGTGGGAAAAGAACGACAGGAAGGTTAACCAGCCTACAGACAGCCAGTTTGCTACCCTGCATATGGGAGGGGGAGATGAAAAATAGAGAGGAGAGAGGGAAGAGAGATAAACACAGCACATTAGGCAGCACACGCACGCACACTCAGTCATATTCCTGTCTTGTCTTTCATGGTGTTTTACATTGCTGTTGCTGCCGCTTGTTCAAGTCTGCGTCGTGTAGGAATTTCAAAAGTGCTTTTGTCCCCTTCTGATGCAATGTCTTCTCTCTGGCACTTGAAAGAATAGTGTCCACAGACATTTGGCTATTGTCGATGCGCGCAAGAACTGACGCTAGTGACTGTCTCTGGATGTCATACAACGGACAGTCGCACATGATGTGTTGTGGCGTCTCTTCACAACGACAGGCATTGCAGAGAGTGTTGTCAGCCATTCCTATGACAAATGAATAAGATTTGGCGAGCGCGCCCGTCTTGGAGGCAATAAGGTGTAGAACGCAAAGCGACGGGCTGGTGCCACCACCATGTCGTCTTAGCAAAGTGTTGGACACACTTGCCTTTTTGAGCATCGCGTTTCATTGTCAGCTCAGCGTGACAAACACTACGGTCCTTAGAATTACTTATGCATGCCTTCTTTAGAATAAAGACGCACATGCAAAATATTGAGGTATTGTTATGGTGCCTCAAATATGCGCAATAAATGTTTTTTTATTTCACAATCACACAAGTATGAACGCTGAAACGTGAGCAATATTGGTGGGCGCTGCGGATGAGGTTGGCCGATTGGCGTATCGTTACAGCGGACTAATAGACAAATGTACAGAAAGACAGACAGACCAAAATTTTTGCGTCGAAGTACCCCAAGAAAGACTATCATCATTAAAAATCAGAAGGCAAACATCTGTCACACAGAATAGAACTAGCAACTTCTCAAATCTCAGCGCCCAGCGCTTACCACTATGCCACTAGGCCTAGTCACGTACTTGTCTGGACTGCTAACGGCAAGCCATTCTCAAATCTCAGCGCCCAGCGCTTACCACTATGCCACTAGGCGTAGTCGCATAGTTGTCTGGACTGCTAACGGCAAGCCATTTATATACGCCATACACCGTTTGGCAGTCCTCAGAGCTTAGAAGCTTCACGGCCGGGCTAGACTGCACCTGCGCACTCGCTTCTTACGGCCTTCGCATCGGGTGTAGTACATGCCTCTCGCCACTAATTTGAGGGGGGTGCTGCGGCCCTGCCCTCTTCCGCTGCTCCGTACAGCACGCGCAACGTCTGCAAATGAGTTCGGGCGCGCTTCTCCACTCGCCACGCGTTGAAAAACAAGTTGCCTAATCATTGAAGACGCACAAACGGCTTATAGCATTGCTTATACCTGATGGTGCTAGGCTTGAACCTATATATAGATCCGCAGAGAGCACTTTGCTGGCAGTATCACAAGCCCCGAAGTGCGCTCATGATCGAAGCCTCTTTGTCACAGAAAGCGCCATATAACACACACCCTTTACAAGTTCGTCGGGTACTCTGGATGCTTTCTTCCGTCACATTCTACTTTTTCTGCTTTCTGTGCATTGTTGCGATTTCCTTAACACATGCGTGGTGCTTGCTTTCGGGATAATATTGGGATGCCTTTCTCTCTTCCTGCAGCAATTGCTGTACCTTCTCGCATTTTGAACGATGGTGCGACACTTGAGGGCGCAGTCGTCCTATCAAAGTCTGGTATCGACCAACGCGATGACCGTCATTGTTTATTGTTTGGGGGTAAACATTTACTGTTTCTTGTTTAGTGACAGCGTCTTATGAAGTAGCAACATCCAGATCTGTTTCGTTGATGTTTGATGTAGAGGCAAAGCTCGTGAAGCAGGATCTTTGTGAGGCTTCTATGCACTTGAAATCATGTAGAATATAGGATAGTCCTTTAAAAGAGTTGGCGCGGAGTCAGGAATAAGTTTTCTGATACGGAAAGCAGGCGCATATTCTTCATTCCGCAAGCATCTGCTGCATACGACTGTCGACGCAGACTTGTCGTAGAGGATGAGGTTGTCTTTCGCAATATTCTTTTGACACATGGCGCACAGCTCAATATTGTTCGGGAATCGGTGAGAAGAAACAACGGGTGTTTTCCCCGAACGGGACTTGCAATGCAGAACCACGGCGATCGAGCAGCCATGATAAAACACAGCAATACGCCTTAAAGCAACTAATCTATATCCATGTGCGTAATGCACGTTCTGAAGGTTGTTCGAGTCCCTTCTCGACTCGAAAAATCACTGTAGACTGAACACTGACAAAGCACCGAATGAAATGAAGCCGTGATGGGTAAATCCCATAATAAAGCAAGCCATACTAGAAATAAATTGCAATTGACAATAACCTAATGATTTGATTGATATGTGGGGTTTAACGTCCCAAAACCACCATATGATTATGAGAGACGCCGTAGTGGAGGGCTTCGGAAATTTCGACCACCTGGGGTTCTTTAACGTGCACCCAACTCTGAGCATACGGGCCTACAACATTTCCGCCTCCATCGGAAATGCAGCCGCCGCAGTTGGGATTCGATCCCGCGACCTGCGGGTCAGTAGCCGAGTACCTTAGCCACTAGACCACCGCGGCGGGGCAATCGACAATAACCTACTTGTAGCAATAAGCCAGATGAGAATTCATACAGATGTTTCAAAAAAAAAAAGCAGCTTACTTGCCGAAAGTATGTAACGTTGTCAATTTCTATTTCTAAGCATGTTGTTCTACGAACTCGAAGGATAGCTCAGAACTGATTTGCACTTGATTTTTAGTTCCGAGGCAAGCGGCTTGCGAGTGTAAGTAGCTGGGTTATTTGCATTCTTCGTAGACGTGGCTTGCAGTACAAAGGAATGCAAAAGGGGTCTCCGGAATCAATATTTCCAGGTGGTGTTAACACCTTCACAATGCATACCATCACTCTCTGTGCGTGCCATCCGAAAGCGTTATTCAGCAGCAAAGGCGCTCTTTTTTTTTTTTACTTTCTTTCTCCTTATAGTTTTTTAGTCGTTAAATATACAACACACGCACATGTTTAAAAGAGTTGTCAGGCTGCAGACAGCAGATATTAGCCCTGAAAACCGCTCCAAATGTATTTGTAAAAATAAAGGAAAATAAGAAATAGCTAGCAAAGGGAATGTGAGCTCGTAATTCTTTGAGCGACCTTCTTTAATTGCGACATTGTTGTCCGAATGGACCACGGGCCAAAGGTGTTTAGTGCCCTCTGCTTGCAGAACAGGTGCAGCATTGTTTATCTTTCTCTTTCGTCATTGCCGGTGCTTTATGCCTCCTTAATGCCTCTCATTAGCCTATTCTTCCACATTTTCACCGAGTTTCAGCTTGTATTATTCACGAGCCGATACATATATATCTAGGTATACCTACATTAAGCGGCAAACCGCTGGTAATATTAGTTTTTTTTTTAAAGAAGAATCTCCCTCTATCCCCGATTTCTTTAATACTCCCCTCCCCCTCTTCGTCGAGAACCCTCAACCCACGGTTTCACATCAACAAATTATCTTGTGTCATGTCAGGGTTGCTGCGCCCCTACCGCCGACAGGTGGCGAAAAATACTCTAACTCTCCCATTGTATTCGCGACGAGTGAGAAAGCCGTAAGGAAAGAAGCGCGCGCAGGTGCATTCTAGCCTAGCCGTGGAGATTTAGCACGCTTTCCTGATCAGTGGCGAGATGGCGCCACAGCCTCGCTGTTCAACGTGCTCTCAAGGTCACCCCCCCCCCCCCCGCAGTCCTACCGAGCATTCTCTCCTGCGCGCGCGCTTTTCATATTTGTAATTCGGGAGAGGATGGTCACTTCGCAAGCGGCCACGACCACATTTACGAAAGGAGCGCGCTGCTGACATGCGAGGCAAGAAGAATGGTCTGTGGTCGTCCTGTGTAAGCTTAATTTCGTGTGTGCTTTCTGCTTGAGGTGTGCGCTGCAATTTTAAACTACTTGCCATTCCTAACGTGACTAAAATTTGTTGCTGTTGCTGAAACAATGCACAATAAAAGCTCAACTACCTCTGTAGAGACACGTACGTTTAACTTTCATGTTATACCGATTCCTATATAGGGGGATCAGCCACGTTTTTTTCATGAACTACCAGTGCCTTCCATAACTTATTAAAAAAATATCCATGTTAAATGTTTCACCTACAGTGCACAGAAAAGGAAGCTTATATACAAACATAATCTGCAAAAAGGTATAATTTTCTTTTGAGTAATACAGGAATCGATCGTACCTTCAGATTATATTGTTATGTGAAACATGTTGCTATGTGCAAGAAGCTAAGCTTCTGAAGAGCCTTTGTAGTGAACAGCTCGTAGCTTAAAAAGTTGTAAAAAACCCTATATTACTCACACAAACCATTATGTTACAGAGATCTCAAGCTAAAGGAGCCAATCTACAGGAGAACCAGTGCATACGGACATTTTGGTCGGTCCGAGTTCACATGGGAACAGCCAAAAAAACTGATTCTCTGAGACGGTGACAACACAGGCTACTTGACGATGGCTCTCGCTGCAGAAGACAGCTTGGTGTTTGGTGTGATGTGGCTATGGCTGCGCACAAGGCCACAGTTCTTCAACATTTAATACATAGCTCCTATGGAGCTCACTTCATGTATTAAATGAGTATTGTTGGTGTATTACAGTAATGAAGACTTGCCATGAAGCTGCCCTTCACAAAACCATGCCCGGAACACTGCATCACACAGTAGGAAGCAATTTCCATATTAAGGCATCATTTCTCACATCACCGCCATCTCCCAAAGGCTCCACTTTTGATGATAGTTTCATAGTGATTGGGCTGTCTAAAAAGTGTTCAATTTACTTTTGAATGGCTCTGCGATGGTTTTCAATAGATCACACTCAACTATCAAAGGCAAGCTCTAGGAGTAGCAACAAATATATTCAATTTGATAAAAAAAGAGTCACAATGCTGGATGTCAACTGCTTTCACTTTTATTGTGGGTAATGTAACTAGTGAACACAGGGAACATAGGTGTTCATGGCTTCACGATAACAAATTTTGCAGCAATTCAGTACATATACATTGTACACAAAGCGAGACTAAATGCTCCAAATTATAGCAAACACGTGTAAAGTGTAATGTACAATATGCACATATTTCATTTCTTACAGGTTTCTAGCATACAAAGCTTTCACAGAAAGCAAATAAAGAAACAGAATAAACAAAGTACAATAACAATGGGAAACATTGTATATTTACGAGGCTATAACAGTAAATTTTCTGTACACGCTTGAAACATGAGGCTGTATGAGAACTGCAGTCCGAACACTAGCTGCTGAACAGACCCCTAGAAGCTGAAAAGTGCCAGGAATAGAATCGTTTCATAGAAGACTGTTGTGCCAGTTAAGACTTTTTGCACTGTTTCACCCAATAAGCTCAGTAAATAATGCAAACTCACATATACATACACGAGAACAGCTACTACACAAAAAGTGCAAAATACAAAGCAATATAAGCAGCCAAAATTAATTAGCAATTCAGGCGAGCTTAATAAAACTAAAACATTTAACTTTTAGCATGTGCGCAAACTTTTGAATAAACAGTCGAGACGATGCTTTGCCTTGTTTCTTCACTGGGACGGCAATGTGAGAAAGAAGATGCGTCTGGCACGGGGCCTGGGCCAGCTGGTGCCAGGAGTGCTTTTCTCGTACCACAAGTTGCCTAATGACACACAATACATCTGCAGACACTTATTAAGTAGTAATTACGACAAGTGTATAAATATAAGAACAATAGCATTCCCAAAAAATACTGCGAGTAGAAACTCAGATGGGTGGCATTTGTGCAGGCAGGATTTCATACAACTGCTGTGGCTAGCACTTCCAAGCCAGAGGAAAGAACAAAAAATTCTTGATCTCTTCTTTTTTTTTTGCTTTCACGCAGACATTAATTTGCTTTATAAACAAAAAAGAAAACAATAGCCAAGCAGGTTTTAAACCAATATCACTTTCTTTTAAAAATAGTTTTTTGTTCATTTCATAGCATCATATCTAAGGACAATTTGGAGCATTTTAATGAATGCTCTTCTCTGACTCTCTACAGCACATATTTAGACAAAAGTCAACAGGACCAACTATAAGACATGAGACACATCAATAATAGCAGAGTCCTTCAATGCTTGTATTGGTTGTGAAGCTTCATCGTAACTCTGTGGGAGAGATTTGTGCGCTGCGAGCGGAGGCCACAGGGCGGCGCTGCTTCACCACGCAGGGCAGAGGGAAGCTAGCTACTGGTGCTGCTATGGGGTCAATGCATAATACCGTCACGTGTCATATCGCTGTGTTCAACATATGATTACTATTGAGCCTAGTGTGTTGCGCCTAAAGATTGGGAAGGATGCCGTATACCTGCCGTGTACCTGGTTGTCGATCCAATTACAAAACAAATGACGATAAAGTCTCTAAGTTCTCGCTGCCTGCATGCAGTGAACGACAGGAAAAGTGAAAGTGCACAATGCCGCGACAAGACACCGGTGGTTTGACATTTGATTCCCAGAATGTGTGCGTGTGCGAAAAGCACTTCAATGAGAGCGACATCGTTCGCATGGACCAGTGGCTAATCAAGGTGTTGTGATGTCAACACGCGACGTCCCCGAACCTTTGCCGATGCTATGCCGAGGATTTTTCACGGGCTCATGGCGTATTTTTATAGTGCAAAAAGATGCAGAGCTCGCCCGCCTACCAAGCGCTGACGGGAAGCATTAGCTGAGCTGGATACTGTGGCTGCATTGACACTGTGCATAAGAACTTTTGACATAGCTACAATGGATAATGACGCATTCAATGAAGGTGAGCATACTGGCCGCCTCTTTCTCGTTCCATGCCAGTAAGTAATAGAGAAGCCCGATGAGTGAAACGCTCACCGTTTTTGTTATACAGGCACTGAGATTACCAAAAGTCTAGAGATGATATTCCAAACAGGCGGAGCTACATGCAGCTCCTCACAGCTTGAAAAATACAAAGCACATATCCGTTTCATGGAACAGAGACTTCAGCGCCAGCAATAGACGTTTGCTAGGGTGATGGTGTAAGAGAGGTTGCACCGAAATGCTGTAAAATACTTGCGCAAGTTAAAGTCAATTTTCGATATCAATGCATCATGAGCGCTAGAAGATAACTTCTTGTGTCCCATGTTGACGATGCCGGTGCGGGACACAGTCAGTCAATTTTTACGTTTGAGGAAGCATGTAAGGCTTTCGCTTTAACAGTGAAGACAATAAAGAAAGACCGGGAAAACACAGTATGAGTAAGCTACACAGCAGAGTAAAGGACTGGGAAACTACATTGCATGGCCAACCGAACTTGGAATGTGCTATGGCACTGTAGTGATAAATCAACGCAAAACAAAACACGACAATGTGGCAAACGTCATATGAAGTATTGCTTGATCCTTGTCCTTTGCTAAATTCAGAGCAGTGATTCATTCAAAGTGGCAGTTGGTTTAGCAAATAGGAGGCAGTTTTAACATCTATATATCTTCATATAGAAACACCAAATGTTTATATAGCCTGAAAGATTAGATATGCGCTGTCAAAGGTTGCAACCTCTACATGCTTCAAGAAAAAAAAGCATGCTTTTATAGCGGTAGCATATCTTACAGTGGAATCAGCATGCCGTCGAATTTCTAGTCTCAAGGCTTTCTTCGACGCTCAATTTCACTGTATTAGAGCTTTCCCAAATTTCCTTGAAGCTCATGTCACTTTGAAGATGTATTCAACCTTCACAGCTGCATTTAAAGGGCCAGTCAAAAGGCTCCGACTTTTTTTTTTTTACACTGCCAAATAGGCTCACGCATCCTTCCTACGCTTGACCAAATTTCTTCCACGGGCAGTGATGTCAACTGGGCAAACGGCGACGTTGACTTCATTACTGTTTGTTGAGACCTGGTTTAGACCAATCGATGAGCTGCGTGCTGCATCACGTCACCGATCGCCGAGTTAAAGTCACTGCGCATGGAAAGAAGTTGTTCAAGCGTAGGAAAGATGCGCGAGCTTGTTTGGGGGGTGTAAAAAAAAAGTCGGAGCCTCTTGACTGGCCTTTTAATAATGTTTCACAGCTCTGTCACGTGCCGTACGATTGCAGCGCAGCGGCCGCTCCGATGCCCTGTCGTGGGCGAGGGCGCTCCTAGTGGTTGCTCCTGTTTCTATATCGAACTTTCGCCGAAGCTTCATGACCAGTGAAAGTATTGAAGGACTCTGATAATAGTAGTAAGGTAACACAAATTCTATTAAGCTGCACAATCTACCCTGAGACAGACAAACAGAAATCACCAAGTATTAATTTATCACTCTGCCTGAAAAGAAAAAGAAAAGAAACAACATTTTCCATTACAAACACTTCTGCAATAAGCAGCAAACAACATGCATTAAAATTAACACAAAGAATTCCTATTGCCTCGAGTTCTCAATACAAAGAGCTTGTGCTAGCACCATGCAATAAAATAATAAAACAATGTGAAGCTAGACGAAGTAATGGTCCTGTGGACATCCCGATTGACTGACAGCATCACAAGTCAAGAACAGACAGGACTTGGTACACAGGAGGAGGGCGTCACAGAGGAAGGGCAAAAGATGAGGCACATAAAACAGCTTCACTGGCAGTTCAATGCATGGCACTTCTGTCGCAAATGTCACCCTGAAAGACTAGTGGTTTGTTGGTGAATGCGGGGTCATCAGCGCACCCAGCAGGAAGATGCAGCATATCGCTTTTGCCTTGCCATTAAGGGCAATGAGCTGCGATTCCTTGCATCTGTTTATTAGCAAATTATACGCACCATCACTGATAGCACTGCGCATGCCATGTTGCCAACATGCTCGCTCAAAAGAGGCAGAAGACTGGATTCACGCCTTCAGGCACTAGCTGCTGGAAAATTGAATAATCCCAGCACACCACTTAGTTTGCTGCCATTCACATTAAAGCTATACAGTTAAATAACATGAAACCCCTTGCGACACTATGCCCAGCTCTCATGAGAAAGAAGGAAAGAAAGCATACCATGCATAATATACATCACTCAGTATGGCACATTTGCAATAGTGTGAAGGTACAGTTATTGTGTACAATAGCCCAGCCTATCCATGCATCTTATCAGGTATGTGAGCAAAATCCACAGGCTAAGAGTTTATTTGTAGAGCTGTGGAGTGTGGCTTCCTGGTTCAACTATGAAAACAATATTAGAAATAAACAAAACCTTATTGGAACAATTCATCTGCCAAACAGGACTGTAGAAAATTACATTTTGTAAAAGCACAAAAAAAGTGATACATCGCTTACAATAACATAAATTGTCAAGATCCTAAGATATACTAGAAATGTGAAAATCAACTGAATGGATAACATTTGTCAAATGTTAAACAAACACTCGTCACAGATAGAAACACTGAGAAAGAAAACTGTCTCAATTTAGGACAACTTCTCATTAAGTTTCTGCTGCATGGTCGAAAGGCTGAAATTACCTCCTTTCAATTCCCACTAATCAAGGTTTTTTGGATGACATTTTTCAAAGCACACAGGGTGCCCATTTTGCTTTCTAGGAGTGGTAAAATGGTAAACGATAAAAAGCTTGTGATGAGTGGTACACTAAAAATTCATTGGCAAATAAGCCTCAAAGGAAATTGGCATTAAGTCATCAGTCAGCCAAACTGACCTAAAGAACTCTGACAGCAAAATTTTGTTTGCAACTTTACTGTAATTTGTAGCTTTGAATGTAAGCATTTCTGACGGGCATCTGTCTGGCTCGGTAGAAAATTAAGAAAGTTGAAATGACTCCAGCCAAGTTCGTAGATAGCTTGTTTTTGGACCGATGCAGACTCTTCCGTAGGGGGCGAGACTGTGTTGTGTTGGTCATGGGAGCAACGCCGTGCCGTTTCTAAGAAGATGCAGTCAATGCTGCCATGACCAACGCAGTCACCCTCTGGGGAAGAGACTGATTTGGTCCCAAATTATTGCCAACATCGTTAATTGTGACCAATTTTGCATCATTTTGACATGCCCACCTAAACACATAAACTAGAGCCCAACAGTGGGGGAGTGCCTGAAACCATGTGCACTCAAGCTTTGGTGTCGTTGAAAACGTGCAGTTTTCAAACTGGCACCCTGTGCGCAGTAAAGAATGAAACTATGTAGGTACTTCAATATGTTAAGCCTGTTATCTCGTGTCCCCTAAGAAAATAAAAAGCATTTCTGGCCTAAGCAGCCCAGCAACAGAGTGAAAGAAGTGAGAAACAATAGCCCTGACCAGGTGCCAGTCATGGTATGTGTGTGCCCTGCAAATTTTCTGTGGCGTTGACAATACACACTTGACTAGTGGAACATCACAAGGGGTTTCGACCTACATGTTTACCAATGGCGATTTAGTGAGGTGCTGCACACTCAGATGAGCATTCACGCTTACTTTAAAACAAATTTTAAATATTTTAAGACTTATGTCCCCCTTTAATAAACGGTCGGCAGGGCTCTCATATACTGGGCAATCGAACAACCTGAACATCTTGAGGTCTGTATTTTGGTGTCAGGGGTCTATTAAGTAACACACAAAATATATACCCATCAAAAAAGTTTTTTCTCTTTTCATGTCGGCATATGTGCCATAAATCAAACCTTTCACAACACTGAAATTTTCAGGCTTAAAAGCTTTCACAAAGCTGCTGCAGCTCTATGCGACCACTTAACAGTGAACAAGTGTGTACATGCATACATGCCCTTTCTTGTCCGAAATATGTACGAGGTACACATTTCCGATGGAGATTATTATAATGTCCATCTTTATCCAATATATACCACACTGGCAGAAGGTCCATGCAGAAGTAATAACAATATCTTGTGCGGCTAATGAATGGTTTGACATATGGCACCACAAGTGTTCAGTACACAAGCAAGGCCACCTGCTGATCAGCCAAGTGGCTCACCGTGCCACTTCATGGTGCATTTAGACATGGAACTCTGACTGGAACTTTGTTACAATCTAGTATAGTAACTCTTACCGCGCAGGAGCATAGCAGGGCCGTTTTCTGAAAACTACGCACATGTAGAGCATGTGGAGAGCCCAATATGCTCTGCACAAGAACCTCATTGCTCCCCTTAAATTCTTGAGCTGTCTCAGACTACAGCAACAGCTGCTCAACAGTAGTGTGTGTGTTTGCTTTTTTTTTTTTCAACATTAGATGGGAAGCTCTATGTCAAAGAACTAATCACATGGGTTCTCTGCAATGTAATAGCATGTGCGAAAATTCCACCAGCTGTTCTATGTTCACTGTTGATTGAAGCGCCAGTAAATCAAGTGCAGAGTATGCCAGGGGAAATACAAGCAGCGAAGGGCAGCCAGCTCATACAGTTAAACCCCTTTATAAAAGGCATACTCCGAGCAGCAATTCTTGTTTTGTATACAAGATGTGTCTTATAAGCAGGGTACCTCATATGCATTTTCTTATCAACCTGTTTTTTACTGTAGGCACAGTGGCGTTTCTTAAACCCATTTGTCTCTTATATCAGTGTCTCTTACAAAGAGGTTTGACTGTATATGAATCGAAAATGATGTACTGTATTTGAAAATTTCAGCAAATGTTGGCTATCACATCACTGGCCCTACTACAAAAAAACATACGTCGCTATGTTACAGGTCCCTATAGTTGTTTTAAATCACCTTAAAATTAATGGCAAAAGAAAGAAACAAAGTGGTACTCATCGACTATGCGAAAATTGTTTGCCATCATCATCTCCCCTAATCCCACGGGAGACAGCACTAAGGTAAGTCCACATTTGAAATGCTTCTTGGACATCTGCGAACAGTTTCTGCAAGTAATAATGAGTCAGTTGCCTCTTTAACAAATTTTCTCAGCCCGACAAAATTATAATCCAACCAAACTTGAGAGGCCCAGGTGTGTTAACTTGCCAGAAAACAGTATATTACACTGAAATTCCAGAAAATGCCACCCTACAACGAATTTCGATCAACGTAGCCAGCAAATGTAGCACATTCTGTCTCTTATCACAAAGTATGTAACTCTATTGGTAATTGCAGTGCACAATAAATTTCACTTGTAATTACAACAAAAATGAAAGAAAGATATTCGACTTTGTTGCAGCAGAATTTTTTTATGCCACATATGTGTATCAAGATTTGAGACAGTTTTCTAACTCTAAACTGTTCATTTCAGTAAAGAAAACACAGCGAGAGAAGTGAAGACAATTGTAGATGTTGATATGTGTTATATAAACAGAGCCCTCTCGTTCCACAATCAAGTCCTCTAAAAAATGTCTGGAGAACTTTTTCTCTAATTAAATTCTAATTACAGTGCACAAAAGTGTACCTACGATTATATGAAACAGCAAAAGTATAAAAAAATAACAGCTATGCATCAAAGAAAGATAGGTATGACATACCAGTCTTGAAAAAACATTGCAACATTAAAACTGTGTATTCTAAACTGTAGATGAAATCACATCATTCATGCCTTCTAGCCTATCATCAAGTCTTCATCTTTATTGCTTTCACAAATGCAGTGTGTTTCGTCTCCATGATTCAATAAAAAGCAATAGTTTTGCTGCTTTGCAACAACCTAAACTTTAGCTTACACAGCTATTCTCGCTTGCTATAATAAATTAAATTGTGCGATGGTACAACCAGTAAATAAGCTACTGGTGCTATCTGTGCGTCAATGCCCGTGTACTAGGTACAAGCAGGAGCAAAACAAGTGATAAATAACCCCAACACCGCCCCAGAGCTCTAAAAAGCTATGGGACTTCTAAATGTGCGTTATAAGACCAACTTGAAGCGTAAACAACAGACAAACAAGGTTACTGACACAAAGGTAAATAAAAAAAGATACGTCTACATGACTATTGTTTTCCACAACTCCATTTAAGTAGTTAAGATGCATGACACTAACTCTAATGCACATGTTATTAAATTTTCAAAGTTCTGTATAGCAAAAGTAGAACCTTGCTAATACTACATGTAAATTTAAAAGTTCACAGGTGCATAATAAGTAATTGAGATATCTAAAAATAGTTACTATTTTTATTGTCATTTTTTCTTACCACTAGCTATGATCCTGGCAACACAATTCCCAGAATTTCACTAAACGGTGATATACAAATTTTTGTAGTTTATATCTAGAAGAGGCTACGAAGATATTGTTTTTATAACCATTTTTTAAAATTATTTATTAATAGTTTATTAGAAGTTATGGTAATTAATTCTTTAAAAAAATTATAATACATACTACATTATGTGCAAAAGTCTGTCATATATCTGAAATTTTAGAAAAATAGTAATTTCCTGTCGACCAAAATATAAACACAGCTAAGTGAACCTGAAGATTTAGTGTTTTAGCATAAAATACCTGCATGCTTTATTTGACCATGAAACAATCCCCAACCCAAGTGTAACAATTCTCTCAAACATAGTTTTAAAGGCCAGTGTGAAAAAGCCTCTTGCACATATCGTCTATCACAAAGCAGCATAAGTGTGCTCAATTATATGAAAATTGGCGACACCCAAATGCATGACTTTAAGGGAGGCAGAAATGTTAAAATGCAAGGAGATGAAGTTTTAACAGCAATAACAGTGGCCAGAAAGAAGCAACTGGACCAGTGATTTTTCCTCAGGCCGTTGCAGGATTTGTTGAGCTTTAGTGTTTCCCACATGTGTAGAAAGTAGAACAGATTCGTGGTGCTTGTGATGAAAAGCTCTCTTTTCAAAAAGCCATAACATATGTCTGCAGAAAGAGTACCGAAATTTCGAACAAGCAAAAAAAAAAAAACACCATTAAATGTGTTCGTCATGGGCTTCTGGCACATTTAGTTGCCTAAGTGGCTTAAAAAAAACATGCTTAGCTAAGAAAATTCTATTACATCTTCCGTTGAAATATAGCAGCAAGGTTCTACTAGTGTACCTCGAATGACTTCATTTGCATTCCAATGTGAACAACTTTCAACTGTATTGTGCTCAATAAAGCACGAAGCTTCAAATAGCTTCTGATTCTGAAATGAATAGCAACAAAAAAGCGAGCCATTCATTATCTACAATATTGCTGCAGAGAGCTGTGCAATGCATACATCTTTGGAGTGTGTTAATTGGGTAAAATGTAAAACTAGAAAAAAGACAGCTTCTTCAGAAAAATGCTCGCAAATGTTTCTACAAAAAACTAGAGCAACATAGAAAAATATTTACATATATAAACTACAAGCTAGACATCTTTTTTCATGTACATTTTTTCAAACTGATGCACAGATAAAAAATTGACTATTGAAATATGCCCATAGTGTGTTATAAAAATAAATGGGCTGCCTAGAACTGTTTTCAGGTTATTACAATATCCACATAAGTGAATGAAGTTGATTTTTTGTCAAGGTTTTTTAACTCCACATTACTTAACTCAGTCTGATGCTAAAAGACAACAGCTTCTATAAACTGAGTATAAATGTACACTAACAGCAAAAGAAAGAAAAACAAACAGGGAGACAGCAAGCTGCTCCAGATGTCCTGTATCTAGGAGCCCAACACCATTGAACTACTAAATATGATCTGAAATGGCAAGCTTGCTAAACAGGTCAACTATGGCAGAAGATGAACACACAGTGAGTGAAGGTGCTTTCCCACTATGTATGTAAAATGTCTGCAAAGAGAATGACACTTCAGGACACATGGCACGAACCCAAAAATGATCAGCAACAATCATTTGCCCTAATTGCACAGCTTTTACAAATGGAGCACACAGCACAGCGGTACAGACAACATCGATGTTTCCCCAGGCGCTGCTGGTCACAAGGCCTTTGGAAAGTAGCATCAGCAGTTCTTTTCATAAGAGAGGGGCGAGTGCACCACATTTAGGCTGATGTGGACACCCCTGCTCCTAATGGCAAGCCCGTAAACACATTTCAGTACATGATACCTATACAAAACCTTGTAAAATGCAGAAACACAGAGATTTGAAAAAAAAAAAAAAACTTTCATTACTCTAGGCACTAAACTGTTTTAACTTATATATGCAAATCTTGCTTGGCATAAATATAAGCAATGTGTGTAAAGCTCAAATCAAATGTTAAACTAATACAAAAAAAAAGGAATCGTACAAAGAGGAGATGCAGGCTTAAGTTTTCACCGATTCTAGCACCTGCTCCTCGACCTCACCAACGTTGAGTCATTAAAGAAGCCATTTCTCCACTTTTTTCTTGATCTCTACCAAAAATACTGAACAATTATGTGCTCTCTTTATTTATTTCAAAAAGACCACGTGGCGAATGGTCATAGATTATGACCCTGATTCTGGTCTATTTCACAAAAAAATTTTTATATAGAAGTGTCGCTTACACAGAGTCATGATTATTCCCTGCTAGTGTCAAGATCACATAGAGCACAATAGACTATGTACCTTGTTTCTATTGATTTCCACAAGGCTATCAGCCTTGCGGGCACAAGAAGTACTGTGGCACAGTGATCCACGACACATCGCTATGCCAAACGGAAGAGCCTGATGTCTGATGCCCTTTAATAGGGGCACAAAAAAAATGAAAGAAACAAGCAGACTCATCCCCGTGAAAGGTCTTCCTTGAGCCAATGGGGCTGAGGTTGCCTGAGGTTGTTGAATAGTTTGGAGAGGGCTACGTTGTGCGACAGGTAGTAAGCCTTGAGGAACTTCTCAGCCCTTATTTCCATGGGTGGATAGAGGCGCCCTTTGCCCTGCCCTAAGCACTTGGTGCGGTTATTCTGGGAAAGCACCTTGCAGAAGAAGCCTTTGTGGGGGTCAAACCTGCAAGATGTCAGCAGCACAGCACAATGACTCCCTATTCAGCCACCCCCAACACTGCAACTGGTATACTATGCAGTATACCAGTGAATCCAAACACTGTAAATGACAATGCTGACAAAGCTTGGGGTGGATTTATTGGACGATACCCATTCTAAAGGGCATATTTTTTTTTAGACAATACAGGTTTTTAATAAATATTCCAAGACAATCGCGCTCCAGTTGTTTTCATACACATACCCGAGGTAGAAATACACTGCCACAACTAAAATAACACTGGCGAGATTCATTAACAAATACTGATTAACTTTTTAACTATGCACATGAGGGTAGTTAGTTTTTATATTAGAATGTTGTAGTGCACACCAATTTTTTATGACAGCAACTTTTCAGGAATCACTAAAGTTGTACATAGTTCGAGATATTCTTCATCTAATTTGAAGGGTGAAATCGTCACGCTCCCCCGAAATTTGAATGAGGTCAAAACAACTTGCGCATGTTTTCCAGGGACACACGTGAATGAAAGGGGCGGCGCAGCTGCCTACCGCACAAATGTGGGTCATAGCTTTACTCATTACAAGATTCTCCGGATAGGAACACCAAAACGCTTTTAGCCTTTTTTCTGTTTTTACTGCCTTTATTCTACCACTGCGTTAGCCGCGTCCCATTGGAGCTCGCTATCACGTCATCGCAACCCCAGTTTTGTGAGCGACGGTTGGGCAAGTGGTAGTTCTATTTTTAACCTGTGTGCACCAGCACTTTCAAGACCAAGTGATTTTATGCTATCTACAATAGCATCTACCACAGTTTTGTTCACAGAGATTGCAAAAAGCAACGTTGCTACAACTGGTTGGACGCGTGCACTTTCAAAGTTCTGTCAGTTATGTCATCGCCATACACGATCGTGTCACGAATGACATGAACCACAGTGGATGTGGCAACAACATCTACATGCACAAGTGCACGCGCTGGTCGCATGTGTACTTCTAAAGCTTCGAGCACGCTGCTCTCGGCGTTCGTTCGATGGTTTCGGTATGAAAGTTCATATCACGTGCCACAATTGAGAAAAGTGTTTGGAATATTCGAATTTTGCCCTAATGAACACAGTGAAATTTGGCTGGAAAATTTGACAAATTCATATCTGCCGTGATTTCACATCGCCATGATTGTACTGTACGTTCAGATGAATGCCTTCTAAATTTGTTTATAATAAACTGCGGTGGGTTTGCAGAAAACCTGAAGCAAATTAACCTGCATTTAAACTATTTTTGTCAATGTGGGTAGATCAAGCACAGAAATTTCAATTTCTGGAAGATTTTTATGACAACCATACAAACAGAATAAATGGTCAAAATACGGAAGTCTCCCGGTAATTCGGGAGACTTGGTAGATATGTTTTCACTAAGAGCATGTTTTCGCACCGGGCTGTGAATTTTAGGCCACAAGTTATGAGAATCAATTTGTGAGCACACAAACAACTATTGTTACACGAACGTTGTCAGATCAGTTCAAAAACAATTTCATTACAGCTACAACTTGTGCCTGTTGGTCATGTGCCATCATGGTTATCGAAAGCCTTTTTTTTTTTCCTGTCTAAATTCGGGTACGTTTTGATGTCATTTGATAAGTTGCCTTGCACTGCATATTGATCTATCTTTTCAGTGAGCTATTTTCAGTGTGTCTATTTTGTTTGACTTGCTCACTATGTACATCCACCAGCAAATAAATGACCTGTGGCTTATGAAGGCCTCATCAAATGGCAAGGTTGACAATTGGTGTACTGCTTCGACGGTGTCAACATGAGTGATGCAAAAATAATCCTGTGATGACGTCACCATATGATGTTATCATCACATTACAGATCGTCAAAAATTGTGACGTTATGTTGTTACTATGACACTACATAGCGTGCTATCACATGATGAGGTATACATACGACATAGTTGCTTGCATAGCCTTTGTGATTGGCGAGTCAATCACGAATGCAGTGATAAACCGTGAGAAGTGCAGAAAGCTTTTGGATGAGGCCGAGGAAGAATCAACGTATCTATTGACAAGAAGTCTAAAAAGAAAGCTTTCACCTTCCAGACATCTTAGGGTAATGAATAAAGAACCTTGAGAGTTTCTTAATCCAAGGAAAATAGAGGGAAAAGAAAGGCAAGAAGGTTAACCAGCCTATAGGCAGCCGGTTTGCTACCCTGCGCATGGGGGAGGGATGGGGGAGATGAAAGAGAGCAGAGAGGGAAGATAGAAACAGCACAATTGGCAGCACATGCGCGCACACTCAGTCATAGTCCAGTCTTGTCTGGACTATGACGCGGTGTGTGACATTGCTGTTACGGTCGCTTGTTCAAGTCGGTGTCGCGTAGGAATTTCAACAGAGCTTTCGTCGCCTTCTGTTGCAGTGTCTGCTCTCGGGCACTTGACAGAATAGCGTCCACAGATATTTGGCTGTTGTCGATGCGCGCAAAAGCAGACGCCAGTGACTGTCTCTGGATTTCATACAATGTGATGCAGTAGGATCTGCAGTAGAACCTTTGTTAACACTGAGCACAGGGCCAATGATCAAGCGGTCATAAGGGACGGTTCTGAGATTGTATCACACCCGGTAAAAGGCAGGCATTTTCTGTCCTGTAGGAGATAAGCACCATTAGATGGCGGGAAGCGCAAGTGAACTATCGACTCAGTGCACGTTCTGTGGTACACACTGAACGTCGCAGCCCCGACAGCAGCAAAAGCCTCCATTGCGGAAGTGCAGGTAACTTGAAACCTATGGCTACTTGCCAGTTCTTAGCTTCATAACCTGCACTTCACATAGTATTTTGTCACATGGGTACCGGTGCAGGCCAACGCCGGGCTCCATTGTGTATTTCCGGCACTACAGTACTAAGCATTGAAGCAGCATGTTTGGCACTATCGGAGGCAGCCACATTTATTACAATAGTTCAGTTGTGTTCAAAATGCAAGAAACCCTTTATATTAGCACAGGCGCAGCACAGATGGAATTTGCAAATAGTTTTCAAAGCCTGTGGCAGCGCACCACAAGCAGCTGACGCAGCCACTGAGACCTAGTGATTCTGCCAAGCACGTGATGCCAACAGTGGCAGAGGCGTTTCAAGGAGTGGGCCTTGAAGTGAGCAGATAGTGAAAATTTACACGGATTATACATAAAGAGATTGAAGGGAGAAAACATTGACACTTACCTCAGTGATCCACTGTAATCGAAGAAAGGGGTGATGGCAAGGAATGTTTGGAGCTTGTTCATAGCTCGCACTGGATCAGACTTTAGTTCTTCTCCATCAATAATCATAAGCTGGCAAAGAAACATGAACTTTCTAAGACACCCTTCAAGCAGAAGGGTGAAGCAAAAAAATACGATAGCAACATATAAAAATGTTACACAAAGTAGGGGTCATATGTTGATGGGCAGTACGAAGAGCAATAGTAATTGTTGGGGTTTAACATTATAAAATGACTATATGATTATGAGAAAAGCCGTAGCAGAGAGATCAGGAAATCTAGATTATCTGGGTTTTTTTTAACATGCACCTAAGTTGAAGTGTAAGGGCATAAAACATTTTTGGCTCCATTGAAAATGTGGCTGCAGCAGCTCAGATTCGATACCTCAACCTTTGGGTCAGCAGTTGAGTACATACCATAAACACTAGACCACAGTGGTGGGTGAGCAGTATGAAGTACACTGACATAAACTGACTAAGCAAGCAAGGGTGGTGTAGTACATATTGCAGTAAACATTCCTTTACTAATTAAGTTAACGAGCATGGTGTCATGCGTGCAGAGGCTAACCCATACAATCGACTTGATGATCGTGCTTTCACAATGCCCAATGAATGAATACCACAAATAGAAAAGTGTAGTACTCACTGCATTGCCTTTCAATTATTGGACACAATGTGGGCAATTAGGTGCGTGAATATATTTGAAGGTGTTGCCAGAGAGCGCACATGAGGCAACCGTGTTGGTCCAATCAACCTTTGAAACAGCCACTAATTACGGGTAATACAGGGTGTGCAGGCTGCCTATTATAATGAAATAAAGCTTTCCCTTTTAAATCAAAAATGAATAATAGAAAGAACTAAACAAAGTAGCCAAATGGTTTCGTGAAACCTCCATGACAGCCTACAAAGACAAACAAGATAGAACTTACTAAATGCAATCTTGCTTCACTACCGAGCTTGCTGTCACAAATCAGCGCTCAACAAAGCACGCACCTTCGAATTCTATCTGCTACATGAAATCGAGGCGCCAGGCAGATGCGACAGAAGCCGGCGTAAAGAAGAAACAAGCATAAAAAAAATGCCTCGCGCGCACTGCCGTTCCTCCTCGAAACTGCTGTAGCCTCGCCAAACAAACTCCTTGGATCTAACACCCAGCGAACTCCAGGAGCATCTCAAAGGGAAGAGGCGTGATGCTGCAAAGTTACGTCACGTTATGAGAGGGATCCTGCCCTTTCCACAGCCTTGGCTGTGCGGCACCCTGATGAAACGCCTAGAAATTTCGGGAACCCGGCGGCTGGCGCTTATAAAGTAGCAGCGGAGGGAGTCGCAGGCGGAGATGAAGAGGTTTTGCATCTGTGGGTGAAGGCTTGTTTCACAAGCAGGAGAAAAGTGTGTGTTTACCGCTCAGGGGCGAAGGCGTGTTCTGCAGTCACAGTGCATGGGTGGCCGACAATTTAGCGATGAAAAAGCTTTGTTATTAGAGTGCGGATATTTGACAACGCGAGAGTTTCCTGGAAGAGAAACCTTGGACGCAACGGGTCGACAACTGGTGCTGTATTTTAGCGAGTGTTTTTTTTGAAGAAAAGCATTCAAACTCTAAGAACTATGGACTGAATACATTTCACGAACATTTTAGTCTATAAGTGTTTGGTTAGTTAATGCATGAGATTGCATTGTAGCCCGTGTTGATTGTGCTCGTTGTTTTGAGTGTATCTTGTTATGTTGTGTAGCTCGTAGTTTGAGTATCTTGTGATTGGTGACATATTGTATTGGATTATTGCCAAGTGTGCATGTTAGTGTGTTGTTGGTTCTGCCTCATCTGAAAATATATTTTTGTTTTTGTTATCAACTCTCGGCTCTGCCTTATTCTTCGGACCACACCCGGCGTTTGCTGGCGCACTAAAAGGGACGAATTTTAAATTGTCGATGCTTTCATGGTGCGTTTCAGGGGGACGACACGTCTGCTTTTGCAATTAGCACGGCGATTGCCTCCCTAATTATGCTACCAGTGACACTTGCTTTAACTCAATGGACGTCAAAGACTGAACTGCTAGGCATAAAAATGAAGCCATGTGGCCCAAGCTACCAATTGTTTTTCCTACTGAAAAATATATTTAGCTAAAAAATCTATTTGTATAGGGTAATTCCACGCCGAATGTCCCAGGTAATTTGACAGCCACATCAAACATATCTGGAAAAAATGTGCCGATTTCATTGCAATGAAAACAATCAATTGCTGGAACTTTGTGGGGAAACTTTTTTCTGTCACGTGGGAGCCTTCCGAATATTGCCGAGTTTTGTCTGAGTGTTGTTATCTAATAAAAAAAATTTATCACGAAAGTATCATTTCTCATTTCAATACCAAATGTGGTTCAGATATCAAGCAAGTGTGCTTGCATAAGAAATTCAAAGTTCATTAATATTACCGCAATTTTTCAGTCAGAAAGAATTTTCTGTTTGCATTTTTTGCACAAATTTTCACTGTGTTTGTGTGTGTGTGTGTGTGTGTGTGTGTGTGTGTGTGTGTGTGTGTGTGTGTGTGCGTGCGTGTGTGTGTGTGCGTTTAAAGTGCAAGATGCTTATTCTGTGAAAGGTATATTTTGTATTACAAAATATTCTCCGACTACTGCAATTTCAAAATTTGAGGAGAAAAAATCACAAAATTGAGAAAAGGATACTTCTGGTGAATACTGGGATGCTATTTGCACTACACGGTGCTCCAAGTAAAAATCAAATTTAAACCTCAATCAAAAGCAAATAAGTTATTCTTCTATGACAAGTTTTATTATTGCCATTTTTGTTTTAAGGAAGAAAAATAATTGTCAAAGTTTCCCATTGATGGCAATGGGTAAATTCAATGAGGAAGCTGCTGAATGACAAACAGAAAGATAGCCATCAATGGGGAACTTCACAAAGTATTTTCCTTCTTAAAATGAACATCTGAATGATCAAACTTGCAAAATAATTTTTCTCTGAAAAATTCTAGCAATCGAGTTTTTTCAATCCAATAAGAAAGCACACTTTTTTATATATATTTGAGATGGTGGCCAAAATGGCTGGGATGTTTGGCAAGGAGTGGCCCTATACGATGCGACTGACAGCTCATACTGGTTGGACATGTTCAGAAACTTCAATATAGTACATGGCACTGTCTGTTTCTGCCACAGTGCTGATATTTGAGAACTTCACAGAACAAAACACTTTTCACCAAAGCACCTTTATCTAGCCCAGTGGACCCTCAATTCCCACCTTGCATTCTACAAAACTATGACAAACAATTTATCAAGGCTGTTCAAAATGTCACGTTAAAAAAAAAAAGTGACGGGAAGAGTGTAAGCATTGCATTGGTGCTCATTAAATGCGTAAGTGTTCCGAGCTCTTCAACCAAAAAATGAATGGACAGGCACTCGGGGCTCTGAGCTTAAATGCACTGGGTCATACCTAGAATAAGATTTATTGGCTTACACTTCTTTATTAACATTTTGTTATTCCCTACTGCGTGAACAAGTTGAAGATGACTGAAATAGAAGGCCACACAGTGCACATAAAAAGCGAATAGGTAAGCACACATCTTTATCTGTGCAGTGCACTGCTGCAATGTTATTTGCTCTACTGCTTTGGCACAGTGTTCCCCAGTATTCGTCAAGCGGCCATCGAGCATACTGCCAGGGTGATGCACAAGTTCAATCAGTAGCTTGTAACAGTGAATCTTTCATGTCACTTACACAGCACACATGCAAACCTGCAGCTTATTTGCGGGCCACAGACAGGGAAGCCGAGCGATGGAGTTAAGAACAGAAAGTTCAAAGCAGAAACAACTACAGCGCTTTCTGTGATTAAGATTTCTGGCTTATGTAGCTTGAACCTATGCAGCCACTTACATATATATCCCGGCATTGCTGCCACAGGCAATTAAACTAACCATATTTTGTTTGATCCCAGCCACTTAGCTACTATTAGACCAACTGGCATTTGGAAAGCAAAACAAAATTAAAAAGAAAAAAGAGAGCCCAGTCCTATGACATGACCCCCACTGAAGAGATCATACTGCATTCAGGTTTAGAGACAACCACAAAAGAGGGCCACACCAAAGTTCTAACATCTTAGTGTGTGACAAAAACTGGTATCTGAAACAAGTTCTCTCAGAAATTTACATTCACATATCTAATACAAAGGTGAAAGAACAAAAGCGAACAGGCATATGAACATAATCGAAACATTCAGTGTACCTGTTGTGGTGGGTAGAAGCTGAGCCAACGTTCTAGGTGCTGTGCGTAAAGACCGGGGTTGAGACACCGATTGCGTAACTCTCGCAGAGGCTTGGGTGAGAGGTCATTAGCTGTGATAACATCATAGAAGGTAAAGTTGAGGGCAACTGCGTCACCATGGGACCGCTGATGCTGTTTCAGAGAAATCAGAAAAAAAAAAAGTTACCCTTCAGTACAACTCATACAAGGGCACAATACATATGTATCAATGTATACTTATTTTACAAGTCTTACGGCACACTCTCTCAAGGGGGGGGGGGGGGGGGTACCTATTGAAGCATAATCTAAAAGAATGTCGTTTGTAGAAAATTTTCAATACAACATAAAATAAGTTCTAAACACTTACTCTACTTTCCAAAACAAAACCAAAACAAAAAAATATAGGCTACACTCTAGGCAAATCGCATCTTGCTCAAAAAGATATCAACTAACAGGTTTGAATGCAACTTTGCGACATTAATTTTTACTTGGCCACTTGAGTATACAAACAATGGCTGAAAGTAAACCGACATTTTGTCAAGTTTCCCAGGCTTCTTCAAAAAAGACCTACAATGCACAATTTGGGCAAGAAAATCTTTACTTTAAATTTAAGCTTAAGGACACTCTGACAAAACAAAAATAAAAATACCTGTAGCAGCTTGGCCAGTAGAAGTAGTTGCATTGTCATAGCGACAAAATCTTATCAAAATATTCACCTCTTCAGCTTTAGAAGTTGTTTTTAAACATTATATCAAAGACAAATGTTCATAAGCTCGAAAAACAAATCTGTCCAGTGCCACACAGCACAATACCTTTTAGTCAATGTTTTAGTCACGAGGAGACATGTATATATGTTTTCTGCAACAATATTCTGAGAAAAAACTGTGTACAAAAAAAAACAACAACCTGGGACAGTCGAGACACACACGTATAGCAGCCAGCATGGAATGACAAACTTGCAAGGGGCATGCGAATAGTGAAAATCAAAACAGAATTGAATATGAATCAAAGAATGACGATACCAAACTGAATTGGAATCAAATACTATTAAATTAGTTTTCAAATAGTAAAGCAACCGCTTTGATGACAGGCCTAGAACTTCTTATTTCAAACAAATATTCACTAATGTTAATTTAGTAACATTATTCTTACACTAACTGACAAAAAATACCACAGTTTTGTTCACCGAAGTAAAGTCGTGTGCAGTAGCAACTACGGCACTCAAGGTATTTTTTCAGCTGTAGGATGAATACAGCAGTTACTTCAGTGACCTCTAAACAAGACTAAGGCCTTAAAGTTAAACAATGTTTCATGAATGAATATTATAAATCTCACGATCATGTTTGAAAATTGAACACACATTTGCTTCGACGACACAGGAAAATCCATTGTCCAGTGACGAATAAAGCTTTGATAGCCTTGTAAAAGTTCCAGTACCTAGCATGCGTCTTTGCCATTCACTAAGCAAAACAAGAATAATGATCACTTGCTCTTCCAATGTGCTGTTCCTTTGGGGTTTTTCCATCGATGCTGATAATATAAGAAGTACTAGGAAAATATTTGATATATGAACTATGCACTATTTTATTCAAGTGCTGAATGAAATAGAATGCTATTTGATTTATTATTTTAAAACTTAATTTTACACACCCCTGCAGATTTTATTTCAACATTACCAGGACTTTTATAGTATGCACTGCAAACAACCTCTAAATTTTGCATGCAAACAACCTCTAAATTTAACCTATTTTCAGATACAAAAATACTTCTATTTGGATACATATTCAAGGCTTACTTTCTTAACTATTAAACACAATCCAGAAGTTTCACCATTTAAGCGCTCCTAATGAACCTGAAAATGTGACAAGATATGCCAGCAAAATATAAATTTTATGCAATACAGTGGGAGTGTTCACACCTGATACCAGGAATAAGCCCGCTTTGTGGGGCTGATGAGGATGGTAACAAGCTTGGCACGAGGCAGGAGAGCATGGGCACGCTGTGGTACCAGCTCCCCATCAAAGTAGTTTGCACTCTTTTCAAAAAGAAATGGTGCGCTTCCATTTCTAGGTGCTGGGAAGAAGCTTTGATACCTGAAAAAGAAAGAAAAATGGGGACGCACAATAATTATTTGTGGACAGGTGTCATACCCACAAACATATCTACACCCATCAATACAGTACATAGACTAGTTCCGGTCATACAACAGACTCAGTGCATAAGCCATGTGCTTGGGAACCCTTAAATGTACAATTACCTCTTCGCTATAGGACGTGTTCTATCTACTGAAAAATTTTACACTGTGCACTGGCCCACATCATTTGTTCTTGCGCTGACATTGAATCCTAACAATGCACTTGCTTGCTTTTACAAATAATTATGATAATCCTTCACCATATACATTGTCTAAGACAAATCAAGTTGAAATATGAAATTATTGGCACATGTTAAGCTTTTGAAGAAGTACTAAATAGTGGGACAAAAAACAACACCTGGGTGCAGTGTATTTTGACACGTTACTTAGCCATCCTCTCAGAAGATGAAGGCAGGCTTGACAAAAATCGGTGTCACACGATCACTTTTTATCATGATCGAGCCTGATCTGGATGGAATTTTCGCGATCGTGATTGGCTCCTTTATGCGAGCTGCAGGTGGTATAGCCACTCAAAGTTGAGAAATATGGTTTTGATGAAGCTTAATCGCAATCAGTAGTTCAACGTTTGACACAGGTATTACATGACAAACTTAGTGATAACAGCCCTTCATGTAACAACCAAAAGGCAACAGAAAGCAGAAAAAAAAAAAGCTGCATAATGTAGTGGAGCAGTATATAATGAAATACTCTAGTGTGCCTGAAAAAAATATATATTATAAATAGCCAAAGTACAACCAAGTATCCTAAACATACACGAGCATAAAAGCGTTCAACCAACTGACCAGAGCAACCTGAAATTGCATAAAAGATACTCTGCACATGGTCGATAAAGGATAATCGTTAAGAACTACAGCCCCTTTTGCACATAAAGTAGCATTGGTATAAAACTCTGGTTGTGATACTGGTGCTATGTGTTCAGCTTGTCTCCACATGTCTTTGATCCAGTACTCATGGTTAACAATGCAGTATGCAGTATTAAATTATGTGTGAGCACCCCCTAATCAACAGGTCCTGCGGACTAAAGTGCGCCATTGACTTCGTACAGCTATACCAATCGATTGGCAACGGCTGCCATGCTACAAACCACAGGTAATACTGCATAAGTTTGCGTAATGAACCCACTTTTTTTCTCGAAAAGTCGAAGCAAAGTTAAGGATGCATGTCTTATACGGGGCAAACTTCACGAAAACTTTTTTTGGAATGAGCGAAAAATGCAGTCATGCAAGAAAAGTTAGGTCGCTTAGTCTTTTGCAATTGACACACGCGCACACTGTTTGGAAACAGCTTCTTTGTTGCACTTCACTCATCTTTGGTGGTTTATGGCGCTATTTTCTGCAAACTGTCCCCGCACTGCCTCCGCACTCCAAAAAGCGTTCTGCGGCTTTCTTTTCTCGCAATTGCTTAATCACAACAGTGGTATCTCCAACAATGGTATCCACTGTGATCTCGAGGGGCCCCCAGAAGGATGCCCTACGACGCACTTTGCTAACACCAAGGCAACCGCACACGACAGCGCCGTCGCTGTTCACATTGCAGCAAGCTACCGCCGAAATATCAAATGCATCAAACCAAACTGTTGATAGCAAGATTAATGACAAAATACAACTGTCACCCCACTCTCCACAAGAGAAGTGACTGTAGAAAAGGTTGCCTATATCTTGTGTTCCTTGAAGTACGTGCAAATAACAAACATAAAGAGCTAATTACGACCGAAGCTAGAATCGGGTGCCACCATGTTGTGGAAATCGTCCTGCTCTTTTCTGAGTGACAAGCAATTTTTTCTGGTTTTCCAGAACCCTGCGACGTGATGCGACATGATGGCTAATTGGTAAAAGGCCAATCTTTTAAGCTTTTACTGGACATAGTATTCTAGCAGCAATGGTGCTCCAATGCTGATCTTAAGGTTGCGGGTCAGAGTCACAGCCACGAGGGCGGCATTTCGGCAAGGCAAAATGCTACAGGCCCATGTACTTAGATTTAAGAGTACGTTAAGGAACCCCAGGTAGTTGAAATTTTCGTAGCCCTCCATTACACCGTTCCTCATGGTTACATAGTGCTTTTAGGCTACGAAACCACAACAATTATATCATATTACATTTTCAGTAGGTTAAACCAGGGCTGCCCCCTTTAATATCAGTAGTGATCGTATAATATCATCCTATACAAAATTATTACATGTAAAATGAGAAGCAACTTACAGTGACTCAGAAGAAAATAATTTGTTATGAGGCACAGGTGATAGCTGAGAGAGTCTCTCACTATTAAGCTTTTTCATGAAGCATAGACTTCCACAGCATTGCGCGGAATAGTCTGGAAATGACTGCGAACCGGTGTGTATAGTTCATCTTTCTTCTCCACCACCCAACCCAGAACATGTAAATGATAATAGCTGGACTTTATTCTATTATTCTTATTATTACCACAAGCATACAACACACATAAACAATAATCATTGATTTTTTACAGCCCAAAACATGATATGACTATAAGAGATGCCACGGTGGATGGCCCCAGAAACTTACACCATCTAAAGTTTTTTATTGTGCACTTAAAAGTTACGCAAACAGGTCTTTAGAATTTTTTTGCCTTCATTGAAAATGCAGCTGCCAGTGCCGAGATTCGATCTCGCGAACATCGGGTTGCCATTCGAGCAACATAACCACTAGACCACTGTGGCGGGTCAAACATTTGCAATTGAGGATGGTAGGATGAAAGCTGCATAATGGTAGCTTGACTAGACCTACCTCCCTATGAAACCCAAGCAGCAACAAGGCAAAAATGCTCAATACATACACATGTAGCAACCATATGCATGCACCAAAACAAAACAAAAAACAGAAATTTAGAAATTTCAAACATTAGCAAAAACATTTTTCGAAGAGGCACACAAGGAAGGTTACATTCTAATAACAGTAGGATTAATAAGTTTTACAAACAAAAAGTATTTTTTCATAATACAGTTTATACTTCTTTAGTGTTGAGAGAAGATAAAACATTCAAAGACCACACTTGGTGTGTGATCATGGAACAACCCAATTTTCAGAGTATTGGTTAAGGTGGAGAGATAGTTGGTTTTCAAGTTCACAATGTTCCCGATATGAGAGGCACCTTTAATAATTTCACATTTGAGTAAACACATAGGGTGGAAGTCATATAGTATATCATATCATATAGGTCAACACAGATAATTTAAAATTTCAGAAATAGATCACACATATGTCCACTGCAGGATAAGTCAGAGAACGCCCGGCAGGCTTGCTTCTGCAGTGTAACTACATTACCTACTGATTTTTTTGAACTGTTTGACCAAATCGGGTGACAGTCGCACAGGTGTGAAGAAAATGATGCCTTATAAATTGCAAATTCCCGTGATATTGGTAGCGATCTCTCGCATCTGCAAAACATGCCTAAAGCATTGCAAAGTTTGTTTTAACTATTCTACACGATGGTTCTATATCAACAGATCATGAAACGACACATGAGGTTTTAAATGACAGAAAGAGATCTATTTTTGTGCCGTTGAAGGTAAGAGACTTTGTTAGACCACAAGACATCAACTTTGCTTTGCCTTTGCAGGGTTCGTACAGGTTTCCAAGAAAAGAATTCAAGGATTTTTCAAGGAGCTTCCAAAAAAATTAAGGAGCATGATTGTAGTTCCCGGTAAATTTTATTGCACAAAAAAGATGGTGAATTTATTTATTGGATAGTTTCACTAATGTTTTGAAGCTCAGGGCAGGTCTTTTAGTCTAATTTCTATTCGCATCCCAATGCTATTAAGTTCATCGGTGTCTTGACCTTTGCAGTCTTTTGCAGGCTGTTATACTGTGCTAGGCTAGTGGCTAATGCTAGTGAGAGTGTACTGTATCTTTTTTTCATTTAGCAGTTCACTGAGGAACACCACTAAGTGCAAATCCAAAAGAAAACCTTTGAAACACTAATATTGTCTACTGTAATGAATGCATTCACACAACTTTTTTTTTTTCCCAGAGAACTCAAGATGCTGTAGCCTCATTGTGGGCATTAGCTTAAGGCTTCTCACCAACCAAAGCCAAAGCAAATGCGCATGCTTAGATCTCGCCAACGTAGCACACGTGGTTTAACCATGCTTGATTTCAAAATCCTGGTGTCACGGAACACGATAAGCCACGGAAGAAGGAAAGGTAGGAGAGGGCATGCCCAGCCGGCGCGTGGCATGAAAAGTGTGGCAGAAATGACATCATGGTGGCCATATTCACTGGGCACAATGGCGGCGTTGCTATGGTTAGGTGTTGCGCAGTGGAGCTGGTCTAGCAGTGAGGGGCAACGGCTGGCAGTGGCATGTGTGCCTCCCCAGGTCTCGTGCTGAGCAGTGGTGGACAATATCCATGCTCTGCGCCGCGTTATTGGTTACGCAGTGTTCTCCTGGCAGTTACTGTACTCTTAGCAACGTTTACAAATCCCTTTGTCCATCACGGAGTTTCAACAGTGCGTAAAACGAGTGCATATCCATGTGTAGTGTGGCGGATGACGCGGATGAAGCAGTTAGTGTTCAGTGAAATCGTGTTGGGCACCATGACGAAGCTGAACGACAACGAACGCCTTGCACGTCAGTGACGGTTGAGCAGTGCTCCTGCTTGTGACAACGGACAACGCTGTTGAGCCCAGCAAGACGCCATGAGGACCATGTGCACATATGTAGTTTCGTGTTGTGTGTGTACAGTAACAACTTGCATGTGCGTATTAAAAAACCTTTTCTGTTCCGCTTCGTACACTCTCCACCAGCATTGCATCTAATCTCAACGTAACAGCAACCGCGTTCAAGTGTCACTTGCACCGTGCTCAAAGTTACCACGGTCGCAGAATGCTGACGCCGGTGAGTTTCACGCGGAACACGGACACGGTGGCCGGACGCTGCGTCGGCCGTGTAGCGGAATGCAATCGTAGAAGGCGCACAACTGATCGTGTTGTCTGTACAGTTGCTGAATTAATGACGTGCAAACACTCGCCATTGTCAGTGCATCTAGTGCGCGTTCTCTTGTAGTTGCTTCATTATCGGCGAGCCGTTACTCCCTGTTATTACTCGGACGAAATGATTTAGCCGAAGGTGTCCCGCTGGCTCAAAGTGATGAGCCCCGTTCTATTAGTTTCAGATCATCAGGACACACGCGCTGCGCAGCCCACGTGCTTTTCGAGCCATAGAGAGAGTCGTGCTTTCTGCTTTACATTCGGATGTAAACAAGAGAGTAGAATTTGCCCAGTCAATACGGCCGACTTCCGGCTTCACAACGAGTGACGTCAGGGCCTCTTCTACCTTTCCTTCCTCCGTGCGATAAGCAATGAAGTTTGCCCGGGAGCACGCTCAAGTGCCGCGAATTGTGAGTCGTAAAATCAGACCTTGTGAAAAGTCCCAATATTCAAGGATTTTCCATGAGTGAAACAAAATAGCAGGAATATCATGGCCTTGAAAACGAATTTTCAATTTCTAAGGTTTTCAAAGATTTCAAGGACCCCTGTGCACCCTGCTTTGTATTGAAGAAATTTTTCTGAAGGTGGTTTTTCACTGACCAACGATATACTTTACTAAGTAGTACTTCATTCGCCAAAATAATAAGCTAATCTCTCTAGGTTCCTGAAGCAAATAAACTGGTATTATTTGCATAAGTACTATTTAAGTAAACTATCAATATTTACAATGTCATTTATATAAATAAAAAAACCCAACTGGACCTTGAGGCACATCGTGTTTGAAAGGTATGATGAAGAGATGTCTTTTTGCAAGTGCCAATGTTTTTGTAAAAACAATTTTTCCAAGTTTATCAAGTTTTTCAACAATAACTTAGTATGTATAGAACTAAAAACAAAGTAAATACACTAAAACAACCACAAAAATAAAGTAAGTTATGCAAAAAAAGCAACTATAATGTCACCTAAAAAGTACTCGCTTGCTTTCTTACAAAATAAGTCAATCTGCATGATATATTCAAAAAAGAATTTGTAATAGTACTAAAGGGATGCATCTCTGTCCCCCCTCCCTCTAGAAATGTGAAACTTCAAAAGTTACATGTTTTTACAAAATCTACAAAAAACAAACTTCCAGTAAGAGTGGCCACACAGTCACATATGCATACTTATACAGCGCACACCACTTTTAGCACGTCACTGGAGTCGTGAATGCCTGTAATGTAAGCAGTACCGCACTATAACCAAGACATTTCAAAGACTGCATGGGTGCAAGACCCGAAAAATAGGCAGCTGCACTATCCCAACCATCCATGGGGAAGCCGCAAATAAGTAGCCGCACTATCCCAACAGACTGGGGTGTAAAATTTGCATCAGCTTCAATTCAGAATGGTTAACGCCCGCAGACTCATGGCACTGACATAATGAACATAGGAAAAATTGAAAAACAAAAGCACAGCAGCAGCAGCAAGTTGCCGGGTAGCTTTTGGGCACCTCCTCATTTATACGAACTTAACCACGGTAGCACACAGCACAGAAACTGCATGTTGTACGGCTAATGAATTTCCCCATGCTTTCAATTTTTCAGGCGTGTGGCAGTGTTGTAAACAGTGGCTACCGCAAACTATTACTACAGTGTTGCACATGCAAGCCCTCATTTTCGTTGAAGACGCAAGTCACCCTTTCCAAATACAAGAACTGTAAAAACTATATAAACTCTACATTAAACTGCAAATCTGATCAACTGTGGCCACTAGCAAAGCAGCAACTAGTGCTCGTTGAGCTGAGTATATTCGGGTTGCGACTTGTGTGCTGTTGCAGGAAGCTAGCCAATTAACACAAAGATGGGTGTAGAAGATATCACACTCCTGATTGAATTCCCGAGCCAAACCACTCATGAGGCAATGTTTCGGAATGCGGTCAGGAGAAAATCAGCAGCAACTATGCTGCAATCAAGCCTGCTCGTGGCAAATGCTTGATTCTGCCTTAAAAGCATTGTCATTTGCAAAGAAATCAAGGTTGCACAAGTGATATCTGCCCTCTAAGGCGACACAACTATTTCACCAACAGAAAATAGAAAAGCCAAATAGCAGCAATACACCCTTAATGTAGGCGTCACCACGTGTTCCAAACGGAGCTTGCGTGACAAATGATCGGACCAAAGGCTTCCATCTGGCCTAAGCAACCGATCCCCTCTTTACAATGTATGCCCATGTTGCACTGCATCCCATGTTCCCCGTTTCCCTCCTCTTTCTTAACGTTGACCTTGCTCACTCCCTGGGCTGTGTACACAGAGACACGCACTCCCTTCCTCCTTCTTTTGAGAATTTACTGGCAACTGCATTACAAGCAGTTTGTCATCTCAGGGGTCTGCATAATAAATGGTGTACGCATGCCTGAAGCTCTAAGGGAGGGTAAATGAGAGTTGAAAAAGTTGCGTTATAGATGGTCCTGCACTATAAGCGGTTACATCATAGTCTGAGCTGTATACATACACACAGAAACAGAGAGATGAAAAAACATTCCTTATTCTGACATCTAGTGTCATACAAGATAGTCAGACTTTACCACAGTTTGCAACCACTTACCAGTCAAGACCCCTGTAGTAGTTTTTCCCATTGAAGAACTGTACTTCTTCAAATGTGTCTGGGCTGGGGTGATTGCTTGCTATTGTTGGATGCAAGGTCAGGAAACTATAGAGCGCAGTTGTGCCTGCAAAATATTTTTCGCAGAGATGATATGTGTGAGTTATATAAAGTATCTAAGCTATAGATAATAAATGCCTAAAGATTTATTAGACACAAAGCAGCAATACACCGCAAACGTTAACCTCTCATAGCGAAATTTCTTTGCTGAAATGCATTCAAGCTTCTGTTAGAAATGCTCTATGTGAGCCCAGGATATTTAAAATTAGTACAACACAATTTTAAAGAGACCATGAAATGGTTTTAATGATTATTACCCATTGAGCCAGCAGTGTAGGTCCTTTGAATAATTACCAGATCAGTTTATCTGCCCTTGATGCGAAGTCGGGCAATAAGGTTTTAATACATGCACATGCATGTATTAAAACATGCATTTCCACGTTTTAGAGCAGCAATGGCGTAGTGGTTAGAGCATCAGCCTCGCATGCAAGAGGTCCATGGTTCAAATCCCCGTGTCGCGCAATTCCCAACTGGATTAAAAAAAAAAAAAACCTTGGTGATGAAACTGCATTAATAGGCCTGGGGTGCGGTCTCACCGATGACCACCGCTGGTAACGCACTTCCTCACCAGAGAAGGATTGGCCTCCCTGGCGCAGTATCTGGCCCCTACCATGCATACGTCAACTCACTGCCCTCATTCCCCAGCGGCTATGAAGCAACTGACCATGGCAGCCGTCAGATCTGCAACACAGCAGAAGGTGTTAAGAATCTCTGGGTCTGGACAGGCTGCCATTGGAACCTGAACTTGGCAACAATTAATGCTAGAACCTTATCTAGTGGGACAAGTCTAGCTGTACTATTCGAGGAGCTAGAGGTTGTTAAATGGGATGTAATAGGGATCAGTGAGGTTACAGTGCTACAAAATGGGAACGTCTATTGCTATTGGGGCTCGGCTAACAGAAGAAAACTGGGAGTGGGGTTCCTTATACCCAGAAACATAGCTGGCAACATAGAGGGACACAATAGCATTAATGAAAGGGTGGTTGGTATCGTAATTAAACTCAATAAGAGGTACAAGATGAAGGCGATACAGGCATCGTGCCTACATCGAGTCATGATGACGCGTCAGTTGAAAGCTTCTATGAAGACGTAGAATTGGCAGTGAGTAAAATAAAAACACAGTGTACTATAATGATGGAAGACTTCAATGCAAAGGTAGGGAAGAAGCAGGCTGGAATCTAGGCAGTAGAAGATAACGGCATTAGTACTAGAAATGCCAGAGGGGAGCTACTAGTAGAATTCGCAGCACGCAATAATTTACAGATCTTGAATACCTTCTACCAAAAACGAGAGAAGTAGTAGACATGGAGGAGCGCTAATGGCAAAAGTAAGAACGAAATAGACTTTATAATGAGTGCACACCCAGGCATCATGCAGGATCTGGAAGTGCTTGGCAATGTACGATGCCGTGACCATAGAATGGTACAGTCTTGAATTTGCCTAAACTGGAAGAAGGAACGACAGAAACTGACACGCAAGAAGCCAATCAATGAGCTAGCACTGAGAGGGAAAGTACAGAAATTCAGAATCTCGCTTCAGAACAGGTACTCGGCTCTTATCGGCAAAATCAGCCTCAACGTTGACACAATCAATGATAACCTGACGAGTATCATTACGGAGTGTGCAGTGAAAGTTGGAGGTATGGCCGTTTGACAGGACACTAGCAAGCTGTCCCAGGAAACAAAGAATCTCATTAAGAAGCATGAAAGCATGAAAGCGTCAAGTGCAACAGACAAAATAAGAGTTGATAGAGCTTTGAGCGGTGGAGCTTGATGCTTCCACCGCTCTGAAGAACGGTGGAAGCGTCAAAGCAGTTAAGAGATATAGGCAAAAAACGCCTATATAGGCAAAAATTTGATATAGGCAAAAAACTGATGTATGCGTTAAGAGACAAGGAAGGCAAAATAACTACCAATATGGATAGAATGGTTAAAATAGCGGACGAGTTATACAGGGATCTGTACAGTAACTGGGACAACCACAACCTTAATATAAGAACTTGCAGTAACCCAGATGACACCGCACCAGTAATGATAGAAGTCAGAAAAGCCTTGGAGAGCATGCTAAGAGGCAAAGCTGCCAGTGAGGATCAGGTAACATCAGATCTGCTGAAAGATGGACGACAGATTGTGTTAGAAAAACCAGCCAACCTGTTTAGAAAGTCTCTACCGATCTTGGAAGAATGCTAACATCACCCGAATATTGTCACGGGGTCGTGACGTGGCCGAAGACAGGAGACATTATGTTGGGATTTAACTGTTTATTTGGGCGAACCTGTGCCCGGTAAACGGAAAGTTCGATTACAGTAGCAGTCTTGCACAGATAGCAGTGAATGGAGCGTCGGCCGTCGATCAACTACTCACAAGCGGCGAAGCGCGTCAGCATTTATACTCTTGCCATCGAATGTTCTAGCGTTATCGCTGGCGGTGGCGTAGGTTCCAGAATAATCTGTACCATTCGCAGAGTGAGCGTGATCTTATCGAAATGATCTACTACAGTCCGGAAGCTTCTCGAAAACTGCAGGTGCGGTTTGCGCTGAGAATCGTGTAGTGTTTTGGGACGATAACAAAACTTGGGAAATGGAACGCGTGGCATTATATAAGAAAGGAGATGACAGACTTACAGAATTACAGGCCAATCAGCTTGCTCTCTGTAGTACACATGCTACTTACAAAGGTAATGGCTAACAAAATTAAGACAACATTAGAATTCAATCAACCAAAGGAACAAGCAGGATTTCGAACAGGCTACTCAACAATCGACCACTTCATACCATCAATCAGGTAATAGAGAAGTGCTCAGAATATAGCCAACCACTATACATAGCCTTCATAGATTACGAGAAGGAGTTTGATTCAGTAGAATTATCAGCAGTCATGCAGACACTGGGGAATCATGGCGTTGATGAAGCATATATAAACATGCTGGAAGAAATCTACAGGTGATCAACTGCTACCATAGTGCTTCATAAAAAAAGCAAGAGAATACCAATCAAGAAGGTTGTAAGGCAGGGAGATACAATCTCCCCAATGCTACTTACCACGTTCTTACAGGAGGTTTTTAGAAGACTAGAATGGAAACAGTTAGGGATAAGATTTAATGGAGAGTACCTTAGTAACCTTCGCTTCGCTGATGACATTGCATTGCTGAGTAACTCAGGGGACGAATCACAACTTATGATTACGGAGTTTGACAAGGAGAGCAGAAAGGTAAGTCTTAAAATTAATCTGCAGAAAAGGAAAGTAATGTACAACAACCTCGGAAGAGAGCAGCACTTTGAGATAGGTAATAGCGCACTTGAAGTTGTAAAAGACTATGTTTATTTAGGGCAGGTAATAACTGCAGAGCCGAACCACGAGGTTGAAGTAACTAGAAAAATAAGAATGGGGTGGAGCACATTCTGCAAGCACTCCCAAATTAAGACAGGTAGATTGCCACTATCCCTCAAGAGGAAGGTATATAACAGCTCTATCTTGGCGGTACTTACCTACGGAGCAGAAACCTGGAGACTTACAAAAAGGGTTCAGCTTAAAGTGAGGACGACGTAGCGAGCAATGGAAAAAAAAATGGTAGGTATAACCTTAAGAGACAAGAAGAGAGCAGAGTGGATCAGGGAACAAACAGGGGTTAAGGATATCATAGTTGAAATCAAGAAGAGGAAATAGACATGGGCCGGGCATGTAGCGTGTAGACAGGATAACCGCTGGTCATTAAGGGTAACTGACTGGATTCCTAGAGAAGGCAAGCGGGTTAGGGGGAGACAGAAGGTTAGGTGGGCAGATGAGATTAAGAAGTTTGCGGGTATAAATTGGCAGCAGCAAGCACAGGACCAAGTTAACTGGCGGAACATGGGAGAGACCTTTGTCTTGCAATGGATGTAGCCAGGCTGATGATGATGATGATGAATACGTGATGCACTGAGACAACAGATTTGAAGAGGGTAAGCACAAGATTTTATGGTTTAATAACTGAAATAAATTTCTATGTTTCGTAGACATTTTTGTCCCATGAATGTAATTATACTTGAATATACCCTACTGGTCTGATTCATGCTTTTCGCAGTTCATTAAAACTGCAAAAGTGTCAATAGGCTAGTATTTGACATAGTATAGTAATACAATAATAACATATGTAGCAATTAGTGCTAGATTTATAAATCAAATATAACACAGCAGAAATGTTAATATGACTCTCAAGTGAAATTCTGCATCTGTTTATTGCACATTATTGTGATTCAAGGCCTACAGATGTTCCTAAAAGTCATCATTTGCACACATAGAATTTCATGAATATAAGTTTTTGTATAAATTTGTATATTCAAATCAGCTTTCATAGAGCATTTTGAACTTGATTGCTAAGGAGTGCATGCATGCACCTGATCTTATGGACCACACATGGCGTATCATTGTGTGTTTCCTTGAGAATACTGCCTTAAGTTCTCGAGCCAACATTTTTCTTATTGTAAAGGCTTCGACATTATTAGAGTGGTGTAATGCCTACACCAGTGTAATGATTTACTGAGGGTGGCAAGACTAGTACACTTAAGTAATGATGGCAAGTGACACATGGTACTGGAGGCATGTAAAAAAGGGCCAACTTTTATCTTTAGCACTGCAGGTGCTCACCTAGTGCTGACTGACCGTATAAAATGCACCAGTCAACGCTGCACAATTTCTTTCTTTTTTTCATGCATAAGCACAGAAATAGAATAGGGTGCATTCAATACCACTCATTTTTCAATAGGTCCTATTTCTCAGCCCTTACATTTCCCAGTTCTTGAATGTTTTTTTGTACGATACCCTGAAAAGCATATCAGCTGGGTTCTACTGAAATACGACCATTGTTTGGAAGGCGCTCTTTTAAATGCACTACAAACAAAACAAAGGAATGAAACAACAGTGTGTCTGAATGCTTTTCTCCTGCTCAATTCAACCTGCCAGGTAATTCAACCTATTTCAATTATCTATTCGAGGTCAACTCAAAAAAGGTCCACCTTACATAATACTGCCCCAAATTTCTTGCTGCAAGAAACAAAGTACAATAAAACTTTGTTAATTCATAGTCACAGAAGCCGTGAGAAATCTTCGAATTAAGTGTTTTTTCTAATTACCAGAACATAAAAAATATTAGGGGAACCTAAAGCTTTGCCTTTAGGTTGAACGCGATAGCAACATTTTGTTCCTAGTGCGAAATTCAAACAGTGCATGAAACCTTTCGAATTTGTTATGCACCTACTACGTGGCCTTGAAGGAATAGGCGCAGTAGCATGTGTGCCTTTTGTAGTAAAATACCAGCTTTCAACCATGGAGCCACAATGATAATCACATATTCTGACGCCCGCTGGCAATGGACGCTTGTAGCATGCATTATTACTCCAATATTTCATGTTGCATTGTGAAGCATGTATACAGGACGCACGTGTTTGTGAAGCATGAAAGCTACTTTCACCGCATTTCCAAGCAGAGAACGTTCTTTTCGCTGTTTCCCAAGCAGAAGGGTGGCTGTGTGGTAGAACATCCGCTTGCCACGCAAACGAGTTCAATCCCCACTTGGACCGAAACAACCCTGCTTTGGTTCCCACTCTGTTCCAAGATTTTTTTTGTCATTTATTTATTTTATTTGCATCATTCTCAATTTTACGGTCACACACAAGATGATTTTTCGCTCACAACCAACGATGCCGACAGTGGAATTCCTTCAAAATGAGCTTTTTAATGCTATCATGTTAAAAAGTGGAATGCAAGAAACTGGTCGTTAGCTGTGCCAACTAGTTTTCGACTCTACATGTTATGTTTTCCAGCAATAACCAATCCCAATCAAGGGGGCAAACATGAGGGAACAGCGGGCCTCGCTGCTGCAACAACAACAACAACAACAAAAAACTTGTCGTGATGAAAAGAAATGCGCGGCTGCAGAAAACGACATCTTCACTGCACCACAGTAGTATCACGCGGGCAGCATGTCGCCTGCTCCTGGCTGCGTCAGCACGTCATGATAAGATCATTTGCATATTCTTTCTGGTAAAATAATTTATTAATGGCCAATGTGACAATATTTGTGATGTGTTATGGGTAAAAAAACATGATCATAGAAGCTTTCGAACTTAGTTTTCAAAGTAGGCATTGCAGGCAAGAACTCCACCAGCAGTGCAAGTGCACAATGGAGGGTTCCAATACATCGTGAATTCCGCCAAACTGTCCCTTAATAATTCCTTCATATTCCCAGATTACAAGAAAGAATGGGTAAATCATGATGTGCTGACGTCGCGAGGAGCATGCAATACGCAGCCTGCGCGTCATTGCTGTGCTGCCGTGAAGCAAATCTTGTTTTCCGCAGGCACACATTTCAGTTGACCACGAGACCGTTCTCCACCCCACCTTTTTTGGCACTGGAAGTAGCGAGGCTGGGATGCTTTAGCTGCAACTCATTAGTATCACTACACTGCATTGCCTTGCGACTCTTAAGCACCGTCGTTTTCAGCAAAATCGAGATCGCAAATTTGCGAATTGCGGCTAAATTGGAATCACAAATTAGCACAAGGCACCCAAGTTTTTGAATCAACTGGACTGGTGCTGAACGCTGCTTAAAATTATCCGCTCAGACTTATATTGCAACATACAGGACCGCAGAAGTATTTTGAAGTGAGATTTTTCAATAACAGAATTCGAATTAATGAAATTTTACTGTAAATACTCAACACTGCAACAGTAGGTTGGAAAACACTTAAGTTAATGTTTCTTAAAACTCATTCGTTTATCATTCTATCCCTATTTGAATCACCCTATACAAATGAGGACTTTTGGCTTGGTATGATTTTGGCATAACATACACACACAAAAAAAAAACGGGGAGGGGGCAGAGAGCAACATGACTGAAAATTCTTATGGCAAAGATTGCACAGATAACCAATTCCCATGCATTTCTCCTTTTTGCTTCTAATGTGACATTCATTGCTTACCAGTTTTCTGAGGACCAATGACTAGAAATTTCGGCAGTTGTTCACACGACTTGCTCGATGACCAGATTGACAGATGGCGTTTGTCTTCACAAGGATTCTGAGGAAGAAATTGCTGCAGTCAATGCAAACTCTCGTTAAAACATATTGTATTGTATCATCAAGATGGGACACCATACTTGGATCTACGTAACTTCAAAAACTTCAAACTGAACTTGTAAATGGTTTTTAACAGAGTTACCAAGAACATGGCTGACAAAAATACAGTAAACTTAATGGCTTGTTTATGCAGAACCATTTCGCCTCAGTCGTTACTTACGGTGACAAATTGCACTGTAGCTAACAAGCATACCACAGCTCTCAAGTATGAAACATTTATAAAGGGATAAAAAACTAATGGCTGAACAGAAAGGACAAGGCTTAAGTACTTCCCTATTACATTGCCATTATGTGACATACAAGTTACTTAGGCTTGGTTAGGCTGTATTCATTATTACTGGCATTGAAATCTTCAATAAGCTTCCCAAAAATTGAGCATCCTAAGAGTTTTCAAGAGGTTTAGTTTTTTCAAGAACTCAAAGTGGCATGTAAGGTTAGGTGGCACGCAAGGTTGCGATTTTCCCCTATAAAATTATGAAAAATGACTCATCTTATCCCCCTTATAATAAAAAAATGAATATGGCAAATTACAACAGAAACATCTAGTCTTAATAAATTTTCAAGATCACAACACACAATTAAAGCTTGCAAAAGCAGTCGAGATTTTTTCAGCATAGGCTTGAAGTTACTCAAGTACATTCAGAACATCCTGTATTAGTTCAGTTATATAAAGATAATTAAATGTATATCTTAATGATATAACAATGAGTAATCACTTCCAATGAGTAATCAAGTCCCAAACAGTAAAAAAAAAAACCTCAACACACAGTGTACTTTTACAACAGCGGTTGAGATTTCTTCACTGTATGCTCTGTAAAGTTTACCAAACATACTCAAAACATTCAGCTTAATATTATTTGACTTATTCAAAGATTAACAAACATATAGGAGGCATGAACTTGACATCGTGTGCGAGGAGCGGTAGCGGCAGTGTCGCCATTTTGTAGGTTCGTGCATCAGCCGCATGCGAAAGAAGCATGAAGCACGTACTACAGAGTGTTTTTTTCCCCCCACAGTCTGGAAGGTAAATATAGAAAGCCACCTGGAAAGCGCAAAGCATCGTGATAGAGAGGCAGGAGAGCTATGTGAGCCCAGATTTCATCATTGCAGCAAGTCTGGCTGTTAACGACTCAATGGCAGTGCTTACATGGAAGGAACAAAGCATGCCTGTTGCTGGGTGGCAAGTTTGGTCGCTTCATTTAAAGCCCCTCTTCAGCGTGGGCTGGACTTGATTTCTTTTTCCCGTGCTCATGCAGCTTAACCTGAGCGTTTCAGTGGTTACCTTTCGTAGGTGCGATGCTGCACATACTCCGGATAGCCATAGCTGCGCAACTGAGAGGACATTGAGATATCACCATTGTGCTCACAGCGTGTAGAACTCGCATTATATTTTTCTGTGGTTTCTAACGCATTCATTACTGCTGCACATAATGACCAGTCAGAAGTCGGTGAAACATCATACTGCAGCCCGAAATCATATTCTTAGCCCGAAGTCTCACCAAAACTGCAGTGGTTGCCTCGATAATATCTCGGTGGCAAGTGGCGCAGTGCAGAGGTGTCAGTCATGTCCACCTGTGAAATTATGCCGTCTTCGTGCGATTGAGATGGCGGAGAGAAACCTGTTGGCCCAACATCTCAGAGGCCATGCTTTATGCGCAGCAGTTTTCAAGAACAAAAATTTTAAGAGTGTTGGGTTGTGCACAAGTAACAACTGTGACAGTTATTACTTCACAGTACTCCTCTTGTGCATACCTGTGCATTCTTTTCAAGCATCCTTCTTTGTGTTTAAGCCGCATGCTGCAAATGTCAAGCAGTGACAGTTGTTCGTTGCGTACATAACATGCGTGTCATTATCGTGCGTCCTTTAATTGTGCTTAAGTGGAGCATTGCATGTACCAAGTTGCTTGCTATTTGCGTAACATTGTTGCTATCACTTTCACTGCTTTGCCCTTGCCACAAAACTGACTTTTTTTTTTTCCTTGCCTTTCTGCAAAATGGAACCACATGCGCCCACACCGCATTACTGCTCTTCAAATGGGGAGTTCAACACATTGATCCACCATGTTTAGGAGGCCACAATGTCGATATAAAAGTGCACTGCTCAAGGAAATCAAGAATTTTCAAAGAGGAGAAAAAGTTCCAGGAATTTCAAGGGCCTTGAAAACGCATTTCTTTAATACGAGGACTTTCAAGGATTTCAAGGGACCTGTACGCATCCTGTCGTTAGTTAAATACAGTGCATACATTACTCCACTGACTCACCATCCAGATAGGGTCAGCTTCATCGGGGTACATCTGGAAATACTTCTCTGCCAGCTGAAGAGGTGGAATAGTGCTCAACTTCAAGTTAGTCCAACATTTAATGAACTTCAAGACAGACTCAAAGGTGTACAAAGAGAGACGGTCATTTCCATAGTTGGACAGGTGGGTCATAAAGATGTTGATCTAGAAATAAAGAAAAGAGAAGTTATGTTATTAACATACTAGGAGACTTCGGCAGCCCAGCTAACTAATTACACAGTGCTAAGTTATCACCCTACATTCTTGCACAGAGTCAGCAATCCGAACTTTATTGCACTATATTCTTGCACAAGGACAGCACGATGAGATTTGAGCCAAGAAACACACTCAAGTTACCCTTGCATGGGCTACACTACTGTAATGCCTCAAGTTATATGCCAACAAATTTGTCCGTGTTCCTAGAAAATATAGGTGCAAGTCATCAATGAAAAGGCAAATGAGCAACGAAGATTTAAGCAGTGTAACAAGTGACACTTGTTAGACAAGAAATAAATCCCGTGTGCCTACTCGAATTGATAATCGTGCTCAGTAATGAATTCTACAGCAAAGCTGACCCTAAATTAAAGATTTCAGCTCTTTAACCCTTTCACAATCAATCACGAGAAAAATAAGGTGACCACACACGCACAAGCATTGCCAAAAGCAAGCATACTCATGTTGCCTCTCTATATCACTCTCAGGATGTATGCCCAATAGGGATATTTTGACCTCTGCTTTATATGTGTCACACTGTGTCACACCGTGTCACTTGGCCCCAAGTGCCTACATCGCTCAATACTTCAACCTGCCCATAACTAACATAATTACCTACTAATATAGTTAACACAAGCATGCTCTGAACAAAAAAACAGAAGCTACAATATGCCTGTTAACCATTCAGTTTCAATCCCAGCAGGCCAACCAGATATGTGTTGAGGTGTCTGATCATGACTGCCATAATTGATATCACAACTGCACAAGCTATTTCTGATGGCACGTGCATCTTTAGAGAGTATCTCTTTAGCAATGTGCACCATTATATTTCACAAAAAGCATTATATATGTATAAATATATATATATTGTAAGATGGCGTCGAGAACACTCGAGACTCCTTTTATTGACTCGAGTATGTGCCCCACAACCTAAACTTGACTGGTGATGATGAGTATTTACAGATGAAAAGATGGGACGCATAAATAATGCTCACAATATATATATATATATTATATATATATATATATATATATATATATATATATATATATATATATATATATATGCAGACTCCCTTTGAGGCGAACTAAAAGGGACCACGATCATTTGTTCGTCTTATCAGAAGTGCCCCTGAAAACCAAATGCTAACATGCCGGGTATGCCTAAATGTGTAGCTTGAAAACACTGGACGGAGTATATTTATTATAAAGATGAAAGGAACAATAAAAAGCATTTGTTTGGCTCAGCTTGATAAAAACTATGCTTTCAAGTAGAGTATTTAGACTAATCTAAAGAGTACTCGACATTGCAAGTTTATAGTAAATATGCTCGTGAATATATTGCTACCGCATTTTAACAATAAAAGTGTACCACAACCCTATTTTGATGATTAGAAAAAGATAAAAAAGAAGTGGCAAGCACAATTTTCCTTCGAAGAATAGAAAATGTATTCTTCTGACTGTAAACTTTATCAGAGGTTGTCTTACCAGCTTCGCTATCACTTTTGGATACGCCTTCATTGCATACCACTACCTTGACAAAGCCGATATATGCCGAGTTTCTTATGAAAGTCTGCAAGCTTATCATTAAGGTTCGGATATTTTCTTATTTTCAGCCCGCAGTAACTTTTCCTGAACGACATGCAGCTGAAGATTTCCATTTATGCTACTCACGATTGCAAGCCTTTGGGACACAAAAAAAAAGACACGACGCAGCTATATTTAGTGTACAAACTGACCTTCCTTTGCCGTGCACTTTCATAATGAAAATAGTGCATCACAATTTGCTGCATTTCACTAGGAACAGATATGACGTGCACAGGCTGTATGCAAAACAACGCAAACTGACATTAACATGTGCTCAGGCGCTGACAATGCATCCGACTCTTCTGATGGGAGCACTGGTGCTTAATAAGTGGTTTTGGTTTCATGTGATTGCAATGCACAGATGATCTATGTTCCCGTTTTCACTTTCATTTGGCTTTTTCTCGCCCACCCTTCACTTGCATTTTCCCGTCTAGCTTAGCTTTTGTGTTCTTCTGTTCTCCCCTGCACTCCAGTTGGGGAACTGACAAACGCGAAGAGGATACAAAGGGACAGATGCCTTTTGTTTCTTTTTTTGCTGATAAAGCCGGCCCTTTCTTCACCTGCAAGCTAGGGATGAGAGAGATACGAGCTTTAGGCACTGTCCTTTCTTGTCCACTCAACTTGCTTTCTCCCTCCAGCTCGAAATTCGCTTTCGATTTGCTTTGTCTTGGTGCCAGGAAGTCTTTTTTAAAATTTTTTGCTGCTCTCTTGTTCGCCTGAATGCCCCCATCAAGAACCTTAATGTTCGTTGCACTGAATTCCGGTCAATGTTGGTCGCTGTGATAGTTCATCTTCACAGAAGAGGCCTGTAATGTGGTTCGTCTTAAGCAGGTTTTGTTTACATTACATAGAGTCTATGGGAACCAAACTAACACTCCCGTGATGTTCCTGTTAAGCAATAATTCATCTTAACAGAGTTCGTCTTAATAGGAGTTTACAGCATATATATTACACAGTCTTGCTTCTTACCGGATTGTAAACAAACAAGTAGAAAAGGTCACCACCATGAATGCTTCTGTCCAATTTTTCTCTACCACCTGGATATCGCTCAAGGAAGATGGTATGAGTATAAAGGCCACATGTCTGTCTTGGCAGTACCTGTAAGTGCAAACACACCAACAAATTTAACATGGCATAAAGAAAGAAAAGAAAGGAAGTGAAGCAAGAACCCCAACAAAATAAAATGAGGAAACTAGTACCCAACATATGTCTGAGCTCACTTGAAAACTCCATACATCTTAAACAGTACTTTAATTTGAGAAAAGCAGGAGTTTATCAACTGGTCTGCTTAAAGCTAGGCAAATGTGCAATATTTTGCTTATTTTTAATCCATGCCTCCTTGAATAATCATGAAAGCTCGCTTTTGGACAGCAAACAGACACAGCCAGTATGCTTCATTGCACGACAATTTTATCTACTACCTTGTGTTCACTGCATTACACAGTAGTCTCGTGGTAAATCTTATTTAAATCGCACTGTCTTTGCAGAGCACAGGTCACCTCCCACAATGGCTTAGCAGCTACTGCATTGCACTGCTAAGCATTAAGATGCATGACAGAGCTATTTGGTAGAGACGGAATAAAAGTATATTTAATATTAATTGTTTCTGCACTTTTAAATGCCAGACAAATGACATGATTATGAGGCATGCTGCAGTGGGCGGCTCCAGAAATTTGACCACGTAAGGTTTTGGGCCCAAATAAGTACACAGGCCTCTAGCATTTCGCCTCCACCAAAGTGCGACTGCCACAGCGGGATTGAACCTACATCTTTCGGGTGAGCAGCCAAGACACACAATCAGTGTTGCAACCGCAGGTGGTATGCAAAAACATTTGTGTACTTAAACTTGGTTTCATGTTAAGCCATTAAGCAGCAGAAAATAAGTACTGGTTGTATGTATATTATTGAGATTTTGTACAATTAAATGCAATAGACAATAACACATGCAAATTATTATGGAGTTTTATTAGTTTTTGCAGAAGTTATTACATCAATTTATAAAGTACACTGGGCCCTCGAGATAGCAACAGGACAGCTGGTGAGACGCAAGAATGGGGAGTACAATAGGCTCTTGCCAAATGAATAAAGTCATCTTGGCCCGTACAGCTTACTGCAACACTAGCGCTTTATTAATAGCTTAATGTCACTCTTCTTGCTACACTATTTACATGCATTGTGACATAGCTGCATTGTTTTACAAACTTTGTAAAAATGTCGGTATGGATAGAATAATAGCAAGCTAAGCAGACGCTATATATATTTTGACACTTCTGTTGTGTACAAAAACGCCGAGTAAGTGTCTTGACATTATGCGACTGAAGGATTATAGTCAACACGTAGAGAATTTCTTGAAAAATTCAGTGCAGTTTCAGACCCCGTATGCGTTGTCTGCGGCAATTTCTATCATCTGTGTAAATCTGGTCCTGTAGCATTGTCTCTGTGATGAAATATCTGTAGTTATTCACAGCATGGTCGTAGAACCTAGCCCCTTCCATGCCATTGTTACAGCTGCTGAAGAAAGTTGGCAATTGCACTATATTTTTATTTATTTTTTATTTTCAGTAAATGACCACCTCGTTGCGGAACATAGAAACTACTGTATTGTCATTCAGCAGCATAGCGAATATGCTTTTCTTTTTGGTCTTTACGAAAAAAATTTTTTTCCTGTTGCATCAAAACAGAAACTATACTCCCCACGTTCCTTTTGTTCCATATGCTTTGTTGTTCATAGAAAGCACCCTTCATACCATTGTCATTCCCCTTCACCAGACGTGTTTGTTAGAATCAGAAGCGACAATAAAATCCTTAACGGGCTCTCACATATCCACAGCTGCATCTGTCGCAGCTTCGTGGGTCTCAGATAACCAAAAACAAATGGCATTAAAAAAAATAGCTGGTTCTATCTCTCAGGCACCACATTAGATTAGGTGCGTGTGTGCTCCCACAAAGTTCCATAGTACCATAAAAAGTACACCCAAATTTTATTGCACCTCCGAAAAAAACAATGCCCACCATACACTTCTCACGCTATGCAGGGCTTACTTTGTTCTTGCTGAAGCAGAAACAATCCGTTTTTTTTTTTTCAACGTATAAATTGAGAAACCTGAAACAAGTTTAAGAAAAAGAGTACTGACCACGTGTATCTGACGGGCTCTCATATTCGTAAACTTTCACGACTCGTAGAACAGAAAAAAAAGGACAGAGTCAATATACTAAGTTAGCATTATCTTGCTGTAACTCTTAGCATCCAACATTCCAATGAGCGAAATCAGAATATTGGGTTATGTATTTGTTATTTCGAAACTACGAAGTGTACTTTGCAAAGTACACTGGTTCCTAATGGGTTAGAAATCCCAGTTGTCAAAGTTTAGAAAAGTCCAGCAATCAAAGTAATCCAGAATTTCCCACTACAGCATATCTCATAATCATGTATCAGTTTTAGGACTTGACACCATGGGTAGAACAGCCAAAATAGAATTTGGAGCAGTTTTTGGAGCAGTAAGATGTTACTTTTGGAGCACAAAACTCAAATTTGGAGCAGGTTATGGGGAACAAAACGTTTTTTATCACAAAAGACCAAATTTGGAGCAGTATGAAAAAGAAGTCTTACATTTAAAAAAATATGTACCAATGATTCAACATGTGACCATTCAACAATATAAGAGCACTGCTATTTCAATAAAACTAGTTATGTTAGGTTTTTTTGGCACAAAAACAGCAATGGCTACGATGGGCCAGACACTGGGTGATTTTTGTGAGATGGTGAGATGAGGAGTGTGAGAAAGAAAATTTTGTTTATAATTTGCTTAAAATACATGTGGCCTCTAAAAACTGGAAAACCTCTTCAATGCAGATTATTGCATTTTCTGATAGCATTAACATTGGGTGCAAAGGTGTTTGCGTTCTTTAGAATTCTTGAAAATATTCCAGTCTTCCGTTTTCGAAAACTGGACATGTTAATTAAACATGATTAATAGTCAAAGGTTCGTTGCAATGCTCGCATTTGGGCTTAGGATCTTCTCGCAATAAAAAGTTGCGAGTTCGGTGGGTGTGACCTATTCGCAAACAACGTAGTACGACTTTCATGATTTCCATTCTTGTAAAATTGGCTTGACAGTTTTAAGTTTGTTACGTACTTTAGCACGCCATTCTTCCTGCCAATCTGCCCTAAAAGCTGTCCGACATCTGTTAGAACGATCTCTGAACGGTATCTTTAGTTCTGCCAAGCCATGGCTGCCTGCCATTGCTGCTACCTTGTCTACCTGTTCCGTTTTCTCATATGCAATTTCCTGGTATACAGTTTTTTTTTTTTTTTTTTTTAGGGTGCCACAAATGTCATCATCCTCATCAGCATGACTACGGCCACTGCAAGACTGAAGCCTCTTCCATGTTCCGCCAGTCGACTCGGTTCTGTAGTTGCTGCTGCCACCTTATGCCTGTAAACTTCCTAATCTCATCTGTCCCCTAACTTTGTCCCTTCCTCACGCACTTTCCTTCTCTGGGAATCCAGTCAGTTACCCTTAATGACCAGCAGTTATCCTGACTATGCTCTATGTGCCCGGCCGATGTCCATTTCTTCTTGATTTCTATGATATCCTTAACTCCAGTTTGTTCCCTGACCCACTCTGCTCTCTTGTTTCTTGACTCTTTCGTTACCGTGCTAAACTGGTTATTTTTCATATGTCTTGAGAAAATATTTTTTGCCAGTCTGAAAAGTACTCCAGCACGCTTTGCAGCATACCAAATTTTCCTCAATGAAATGCTCTACTACCTAGAAAATATATGTTGTCGAGCAACAAAAATATTTCCGAATGAATAAAAGTGCAAAAAGTGAAATTCTAGGTTGCCAGCTGGTACACAGTGCAATAAAAAGCATGTTATATGCATAAATATCCAGAATAGAGAAAATTCAGAATATACATATTGAAGATAATTGACCCAGGAACAGTATGAAAAATAAATTTGGTACAGAATGTCTCTATACAAATGGACAAAAAAATCTGAACCCGAGATGCTGCTTCGTTGCTTTTTTGCCAAGCGGTGAAACATTATTTTTTGCGAGAGCCAAATGAACTTGCACTTTTCTTGGAATTTTTTTTTTGTTGTTGTTGTAATAAGAGCCTGCAGGTGTTCCGCTATAGATGGATGCCCGTGACGTGAATAATCGCTGTATCAATTAAATGTCCAATGAATTTTGCTACTTCGTCTAGCATCACTTCTTTCCATCAGCCCCCTTACTTCAGATAAGCTGGCGTTCCAATATCTGCATCCAAGCGTATTTCTTTGCATTACGAGCATCGTATTTAAGAACAAAACAACAACAGTGTCGCACGCAGTTCTAAACCGTTTCACGCTGCTTTGTTGACAGGGCGAAGATGTGCTCCGGTGGCCTTCTTGTAGTGAGGAGAAACTCTGTAGCTGGCGCCAGCACACCGCGCCCCAGAGACATGAAGACATCACATATAACTAGAGTAGCGATAAGATTATGCATAAAGGTCAGCAGCTACGCACTTGGAGGAGAGAACTTGAGGCCATAAAGAAAACAAACCCATGAACGGCTGAATAAGTCTCAGGCTGACGCAAAACATTGTCACCATACACCTTGAAGGTGAGGTGCTGTCATCTTTGGACTCTAAGCTCGTCCTCATTCTCTTCAGGTGCGATTCCAAGACAGTTTCGAGCAGTGCATGGTTTTTTGCAGAGCAGTTGCACACCCACACACATGTGATGATGCCATAGAAGCAACTAGTGACACTAGATGCTTCGTGTGTTTAATGTAACGATACAAGCGAAACCAAAGCTGCTGGAAACTGACTAAGAAGGCCACCTCCACAATTAATACATTCGGCAGACCTTGGAAAAACTTTTTGTAGAATAAAATTTCTCTCACTTTTCGCAACAGCTCTCTATTGAATAGCTGACGAATTTCTGGCAATGATTACTGCTAAACACAGTCAGATGTGCGAAGCTGACACCTAAATTCAATATTTGACTTGCAAAGGTTTTTTCGATTACAGAAATCTGATGTTACTGTGGCAAACCAAGGGGGGCACACACTTTCGTGAAGTTCGCCAGCCAAGTGCAGTGTCTTAACACAC